AGATTCCTCAAGCTGGGGTAAAGTTTAATAAGCTCAAAATGATTTTGAATATTCAATGGAATGAGTTTTTGAAAAAGAATCCTGAATTAATGTTCAAAATTATCTGGATATTCATTGTTTGGGTATAACATTCATCCCAATAACATGTATCCAATTTGTTTTTTTTCTTGTTTGTTTTGCACCAAACTCGTCATTCATTGATTACCTTTCTCTCAAATCACCCTGTGTTCCTTTATTGTTACATCCCTAGAATAAATCGAGAAAATGTATTAGTGTATTATATTTGTCATGATTTGAAATGATGATGACTGAATGACAATGTGCTTAAAAGATTCTTGCATTCTTTTGAGAAGAAATCCAAGATGATAGGATGATTTGAGAAGACACATGACGTGACCGAATGAGGAATATGATGATGGATTAGTCAACAAAATAAAGATGAGGCAAATTTAAAAAAAAAAAATAGTATGTCTAAGAAATGAATATGGGGATGAATTGATGGACATAACCTGTGAGTTGTGATGAAAAAGTATAAGGCAATGGGTGAAATTGGTGCTAAAAAGCCCATGAACAATAATCAAATGATAGAGGATGAAATTTGCTCTGAAATACTGAGAAGCCCATGAACGATGATCTAGTGATGAAAGACGAAATTTGTACTGAAAAACTTATGAACGATGACCAAGTGATAGAAGATAAAATTTATTCTAAGATGGCTAGTGCTAAGAAGCTCAAAATGATGAAGTCTTGAGAGCCATATTACCACAGTTATTTAAGATTTCATGACATTATTGATGTCCGCATTACATGCATCATGTAAGCATCGTTGTTTAAATAATACATGCACATAATTTGATGAATTAAAACTTTGTTTGGATATGCATGGCACTATGAGAATCTAGGTTATTGCATTTGCATCATTAAGAAGGCATTTGCATCTTTGGTCATGAAATTCATTCATGCAAATTTTTGAGTCACTTGAAAAATAAATTATGAATATTTTGATGAGAATTTTTGAGTTTTTAAAGGAGAATCTTTGAGTTTCAAAATAAGAATCTTTGAGGTGTGAAGTCTAAAATTTGTCAATCTTCAAACTCAAATGAGAATTTTTGGGTTTCAAAATGAGAATCTTTGAGGTGTGAACCCTAAAGTTCGTTAAATGTGAATATTCAAACTTTTGGATGTAAATCTCCAAAATTCAAAGCTTCAAACTCAACTTTTAGATACGAATCTATAAATTTTTAAGTGAGAACCTTTGAACTCATATGTGAAACTCTAAGTTTAATTGCAAGTGAGCCTCTAAACTCGAATGAGAAGTTTTGAACTTTTGGATGTGAATATTCAAAATTCAAACGAAAAGCTTTAGACTTTTTGGATGTGAATCCCAAGTTTTCCAAATACGAACCTTTGAATTGGAGTGAAAAGCCTTGAACTTTTGGATGTGAATCTTCCAGTTAAATGATGATCTTTAAATGTTGGATGAAAGTCTTGCAAGTTGCAAATGCGAATGTTGAGATCTTGCAAATTTAAATTTTTATAAAACTGAAATTTTGAGAATCAAATTTTAGTAAAATTCTTGCAAAGCTGAAAGGTTCTTGTGAATCTGAACATTTGAATGTTGAACTCAAATTGTGAATCTTTAAGTTTACAAAATTCCTTCAGACACGATCTATAACTCTTTTGGACATGATTGTCAATGAGCATTTATTTTTCAAAATTGTGATGCCTCTGTTTAGAAGAGCATTTATTTTTCAAAATTGGGGTGCCTCTGTTTAGAGGAGCAATTTATTTTTCAAAAGTCGTTAAACCTCTGTTTAGAGGAGCTTTGTTTATTTTCTCCAAAGTCGTTGAGCCTATGTTTAGAAGAGCTTTGTTTATTTTTTTAAAAGTCATTGAGCCTCTGTTTATAGGAGTTTTATTTATTTTTTTGAAGTCGTTGAGCCTCTGATTAGAGAGCTTTTTTATTTTTTCAAAGTTGTTGAGCTTCTGATTAGAGGAGCATTATTTATTTTTCAAAAGTTGTTGAGCCTCTGCTTAGAGGAGCTTTAATCAAAATTTTAACAAAAAAAAAACAAAAAAAAGCAAAAAAAATGTCAAGTTGAGTCTTGAATGAGTGTCTACGTCTTTGCACAATTCCTGTTTCACAGAAAATGTGCAAAGAGAGGCACTTATAGACACCCAATTTGGTCCAAGCTCGGATCAATTGGGCCTGGTCCAAATGGGTAAGATGGGCCTATGTTCAATTTTAATCTTTATTTTTATTTTTATTTTATTATTATTTTTTCTTTTGGTTTATCTATTCTAAATCTCATTTTAATTATTATTGATTTTATATATGATTTTTGTTCTAGAAAAAACTTTTTTTGTCGTGAATCTTGGGGCTAGTAGAATTTGGATTGGATTCAAAAATTGAATCCCATTCCAGAGGGAATCGGGATTGATCAAAAACTATTCTGATCAATCCCTATAAATAGATGGTGGAATACACAAAAAAGATACACCGAAAACACACAGAGAGAAAAGAAACGCAAAAAAAGGTGTTTAGAAAGTTTATAAGTGTTTTTAAGATTTTTTAGGAATTTTTTGTGATTTTTTTTCTGGAAAATTTTTGAAATTTCTAGATTTCGAGCAATTTTTTCGACGAAATTCAAGTTTTTTGATGACTTTTTTGACGAAAAACTCAGTTTCCAGCAAAAAAACCCAAAAATCAGTGAGAATTCCATCGGTGTTCTTTGCGGGTAGAGAGAGAAATAAGAGAAAAAAAAAGGAAAGAGAGAGAAAAGAGAAGGAAAATATGAAGAAAGAATCGATTTTAGCCTTATATACCTTCAGAAAATGATGTTGTTTTGGCGTTAATAAACCTAGGATCTGCACGTTTTACCAAGATCTGACTCAACCCGAGCGCCAACTTATTTTTGACCCACGTCTGACACGATTGCCAGCTAACCCCTGGAGCGAGTCGAGTCGAGCAGAGCCGCACACTCCTAAGCCGCGTTTTTGAGCCATTTTTCTTCCTGAAGTCGAACCGAATCCCAGCCACTGAGTTGAACCGCCTTAAGGTTTTTTTTTCTATTTATTTATTTATTATTATTATTATTATTATTTCTAAATTAGAATTATTTGGTATTCCTTAATTTTTTTTATTTTATTTTTTTAAATGATTTTCCTAAAATAAAATTCTTAAAAAAATATTTTTGAGGAAAAATTGAAAGTATCAATTTTTCTTGAAAATAAAATTTTAAAAAAATATTTTTTTGAGAAAGTTGAAACTATCAATTTCTCTTGAAAATAAAAAGGTTTTAAAAAATACTTTTAGAGAAAAGTTGAAAGTATTAATTTTTTTTAAAATAAAATTTCTAAAAAATATATTTTTGAGGAAAAGTTGAAAGTATCAATTTTTCTTAAAAATAAAATTTCTAAATATTTTTTGAAAAAAAGTTGAAAGTATCAATTTTCTTTAAAATTAAAATTTTAGAAAAAAAATATTTTGAGGAAAAGTTGGAAGTACCAATTTTCTTTAAAAATAAAAATTATCAAGAAAAACATTTTAAGGAAAAGTTGAAAGTATCAATTTTTCTTAAAATAAAAACTTTCAAATGCTTTAAGAAAATGTTGAAAGTATCAATTTTCATTGTACAAAAGCAATGAGTTTTTTTTTTTAAAAGAAAATGATTTATATCTAAAGTTGAATTTTTATTTCTTTTCTTTCCTTTCTTGAAATTTTTATGTTAAATAATCCGACGATAGAGTCTCTGCAAGTGAAACAGTAATTTTTTTTTTATACTCTTGAGGTGAAGAGATTTTTTTTAATTTTCTGCCAAAAGTATTGAAGTCAATTAAGAATAATTTCTAATAGTTAATTATTTGGTAAAATTTTTAAGGCTTATTGAATAACATGAAATTAAGCTAATACCATCTTTTGATGGGCGATGTGAGGGTGCTATAACATTTTTCACTCTTAACCAAACTCTCAAATTCTGTTCTGGTTAATAGACCCGAACTTATTTTTTTAGAAACCCTTAAATTTAGGTGTTCCTTGAAATGATAAATTTTTAGAGTGACCAATCGTACCTAAACAAAAAAAATTAGTGACAACTCCCTAAGTCAATGTCGAGCGATAAGTCTTTGAATTTAAACGTTATGACAAGTACATATTAATTTTTAAAATAATATTATCATCTGATTTATCTCATTAATAAATTATTATCATTTGATGTATTGAAAATGTGTAAATTCTTCTATGACTATTCAAAGTTTTATTTTCACGTCCAATTTTAAACTTTAAAAATTAAGGTTTTAATTAAATCAACTGAGTTATTTATAGGATATCTTTCTTTTTAAAGTCAAGTCGTTTTCTGAACCAAGACTTTTCATGCCACGCCTAGTCCTTTGTTCCACAATTTCACGCCTCAACTAGCTACCTCCTGCTTTCTAGTTGAGTCATATCATTTAACTTTGAGAATTTATTTTTCTTAATTTTCAATTACTGAAACATTATTAAAATATTTATTTCAAGATCAATATCAAGTTTTCACTTATGCAGCATCGTAAAATAAAATATGCATGTCTAGTCCACTATTGGAATCATGTTGTTTTAGTTGTGGATTAATTTATTATGTACTACATACAACTATTCATGTCATGAATTATTTTTTCATTATTTTTCAATACATTTATCATAACCCTTTATAAGGGTGAGATTCAATTATAAATTGTGAATAATAATTTGTGAATTGTGAATAATTATTAAATGTGTAGTAAAAAGTAATCGAAGGGATTCGAATTGATATTTTATTATATAGTTTGGATAGTTTTATTTTCGTGTGTTTTTTTTTTTTTTGTTTCAAAGTAATTAAATCCTAATAAAAGGATCTATAAACATGAATCTATTTTTTAATAGACAAGTTCAAATTAAAAATAAAAATAAAAACTTAACTAGGGTTAAGACCAAAGTAACATTAGATTTTCTCACATGTTGTCGCTTGTATATATAACGTCGCTTGATTCTTTGGTCATCATGTGTTAAAAGAGCATGTGCGTGCGCCAGGGAGAGTCAAAGAGTGATGATATTGGGAAGTAGCGTTCCTATTTAAACCCATTAATGGTTGCTTTTTTCTCCCACTCTTTTGCAACCTTAATTTGATCAGTGAACCCTAGCTGATCTTTAATCTCATCATCTTATATTTTCTTTACGAAGCCAATAACCTGCTTTTCTTGCTTCTTCAAATGGGATATCCCCATGTTACTGACCTCACCTTGTCTCATCCATTCAACAATGCAAAGCCTAATTCACTCTTGAATTTGATTCCAAAGCCTAATAACCCTGCCTGCCTCAACAACACCACTACCATTATCTCTACTGCTGCACCCTTTCCCAGCCATGGTTGTCCTAACCCCACCAACCCGTTAGCTTTGAATCATGGTGATTTATTGGGTGCATGCCACTTTTTCTTTGTTTTTACTTTTCTCTCATCTTTCTGATCTCTTTTCAACACTGATATATATTTTCTTGTTGCTTGTAGCAATTAATACAAATGAGCGACGTAACAAGGAAGAATTCGGTGAGCAGCCCTTAGGGAGCTCACGTTGGAATCCAACACCAGAGCAGTTGCTAGCCCTGGAGGAACTTTATCGACGTGGGACACGGACGCCTTCAGCTGCACAAATCCAACAAATCGCTACCCGGCTTCGGAGGTTTGGTAAGATTGAGGGGAAGAATGTTTTCTACTGGTTCCAAAACCATAAAGCAAGAGAACGTCAAAAACGCCGACGCGAAATGGAGACCGAACGACCACAACAAGAACAACAACAATGTGACACTGAAAGCTTGGAAAAGAAGGAATCAGGTAAACAATATACATAGAACTTGAATATGTTATGACTAATTCTTCAATTTTTTTTTAGTGTTTTAGATTTGCTTTGTTTTCTTTGCCAATAGGGTCTGTTACGACCGGCTGTGAAATTGAGCAGACAAAGAATAAGGGTCCTCCTTTAAACTTCAGTAAACTTTCAGAGGTCTGTATATCAGTTTTTGTCTTTGTTTCATGGCATATTGCTCTTCATCATGGATTAGCCAAGCTGAGTCAGAAAGAAAATTAGAAGGCATAACGTAATAATAGGAGCTAATTATTATTAGATCAAAAGGTCAAAGGTTTGAAAAGAAAGTCATGAAAAAAGAATCAGGAAAAACAATTCAGCAAGCTATGAAAAAGTTGTTGTTCTTATGTTGGAAAAAGAAGATGTCCAAAAGCTGCATTCCTTACTTTCTGTTGGGGTTGTTGTTATGAAATGGCTCAGAATTTTTCGGACTTTACTTAGCTTTAATTACATTTACATTTTACTTCAGTCAAACTAATTATAACTCTTGTCTATTTTGCATAGCAATTCATTTCAACGCATGGAGTAGCAGCTGCATCAGCAAAAAGTGGACCAAATGAGTCTCAGTGGTTACAAATTCAGGAGAAGGAATTACAACAGAGAAAGAGTAGAGTGGGTACGTGGCAAGCTATGGAGTTGCCCTGTTCACCAATTTACCTCTTAAACAGCATGGACACAACTTCATTAGAGACCAGAAGAGTTTTGAACGCTCAAAGATTATGTTCTTTCAAACTCCACCAAGAAAATATTACTACTCTTGAAGATGAAAACAGAGAAGATCAGACCCTTGAGCTGTTTCCCCTTGGAAGCAACAATTGCAACGGCATTAATATCAGCAAGAAAGACACCCGAGTGCCCATCAGAGCCATAAATACAACCTTCATCCCAAACCAGTATTTTGAGTTTCTTCCTCTGAAGAACTAAGGAAGAAGGGTAGCTTAGCATGTGGCTACAAATGCAGCAATTAAATACTAGTTTGCCATTTAAGTAAAGATGGTTAAGCTGTATTAGTTTGTTTTTTTGTAAGAAACTAGGGACTGTTTCATCTGTGTCTGTCATGCATGGTGCAACTGTGAGATAAGCACATGTAGTTATTTTGGGTTTGCCTTAAAACACATTTGGACCATGTTGGCTAAACCAAGGTAGAGCTTCAATCCATTTTCTTTAAACGATGCAATTGCAGAATTTTCTTTGTTGACAGTTTTGTCTATTTCCTACAAACTCATTGAACGATACAAAAAGAAAGAGAGATGGGAAGACAATATTGGGAGACATAGAACAGAAGAAGGATGTGAAAGAGTTTGATGTTGAAGTGACCTAAATTTTGTACTGGATATATCTGGTGTTTTCAGGTATATGTCAGTAAAATTTTGTTTTTCTCATGTATGTTCAATTCCTTTTGTTCTAGGGGAATTAAATTTGTACTGAATAACGGTACAGTAGTGCAATATGCTCAGGGAAATCTAGGGCATTTAGACCTATGTCCATAAAGAGCATGATTGAATTTGTAGCAGTTACCAACTAGCAACCACCAAACTTAATTCCCTGCGAGTGTTTTTGAACATCATTATGTTAATTGCAAGAATCGGATAATCAAAAGTTGCAGAAATGTCATAGGGAACTCGGGAAATTGGAAGAAGATCAGTTGCTTTCATGCGTCTATATAAATATATCAAATTCAAAGGAGATTCTTGTTCAGCTTTTCAACATTGATCTTGAATTCCTAGCGGCTGTTATCATCAATCAGAAGAGAAGGAAATTGCTTAATATTGTCAATGGTTGCTCAACTTAATAAAAGGCAGAATGATCTATAGATTGAATAAATAAATATTCTTCTCGTGCGTGCAATAATATATTCTTTGAATGTTATTAGAAGATAATTATCTGATCTCTTCTTAACTATTTTCTGGCATTGTTGTTACCTTAATATACGAATTAGATCAATGCTTATTAACTAATTTTCCCACAAAATTTTTAGTTCTCCATACATTTGGCAGTGTGGTAGAGTTTTAATTGCTTAATATTGTCAATGGCTTTAATTAGTCATATGGTCTTGTTGATTTAATTACTGGTTTGGTGAGAGTGGAGTTTGTTGGGAGCTGAGTATAAGAAGAAAGTAAAGAGGCGTCAGAGATAATACTCTTGACAGTACTCTGAATGCGCTCCAACGTTCAAGTCTATTAATTTTTTATATCCCTTACTTTCTTCTTCTCGTTAACAAAACAAACTAACCCAGAATTACATCAACAGGTCTTATTTTCTTGCAATATGGACAGTTTCTTGGACTTCCAAATTGGTTTGGTAATATACGTGCAAGATCTGTAATTTTAGGACATTACTATTCTTTTACCAATAAAAGGTCAAAGCAGCTAAAAAGCCTAAAACCCTTTCACCGAGGGTTGACGCCACCGATTAGAAGTTTTGTCCTTTCACCTCTTGAACCATCCAGACATTTATCCACTCACCATTAAAAATAAGCATTTATAAGCTCTAAATTAGCGCATGAAAAATTAGAAACATTTGCCTGTAAGGCTGTAATAATAATGCAATATTATCAGACAATTCACAATGAAAAAGAGATGAGGAAGATGCCTATTGAAGTTGTCACTGAAACTTTTGCGGGGCTTTCATCACTGAATGTCTGGTATGCACAACGAAAAAGCAGGCAGGCAGCACTAGCGGAAGAGAGACAGACAGACAGAGATAGAGAGAAACAGTGTTAAAAAAATTAAAAGTGAAGGAGAAATGAACAAAATACATCAAAGAAAACGAGTATTGCCGAGAAAAACCGACTATCTAGTGAAAATCCAACTAGGGAGTCTGGAAGCAGCCAGCAGCTCAGCATTAAATGCCTTTAGGCCAAAAATAGGGAGGCTGGATGGATTGTCCTTGCACTGCTCATCACGAGTCAGGACAAATACAATCTCACAGCGTGAAACTACAAAAACATGACTCAGTAAAACAGTTGGTTGTGTTCCTTCAAAATCTCTTTGCAGCAGTGGTACTGTAGCCCCATCCTTCAATAAAGAACGCAGACACACACCTCCAATCCAATGTTTAAAAAATTCAAACCCCTTTGCCCATAGCTCAGACCATAGCCTGTGTTTTTTATTATCTTAAAGTCCATACACTCTTTGCAATTATTAGTCCAGTTGTTTGGTATAACGTTCAATTTGAAACATTATGCCATGTTCCCGTATATATATTTCTTTTTCACAACACTGAAATCAAGTTTTCTGTCATACTATTGTTTTATACCACCCTTTTTTTTTTTTAGTGAAGCTGTCAAGATTTAAACCCTAATCATTGAATTCAACACTTTAATAACAAGCTGCTGGCTGCATACCACACTTAAAATTTTTCACTGCCTCCATTTTTGCATAGCGTTGGTTTGTTTGTTTTCTGTTATATTCATATTCATGCATGGGTCCTTACGTTTCACCTTGCCAACCAGGAGGAAGGAGAGACAAACCAACAAAAGAAATGAAGTGGGGAAATACGTTTTTGAACACATCCATGCGTCATAAGGTAGGAAACTTCGTAGTTTATAATTCTCTTTATAGAAGATCATACATCCCAAAACGCCATTGATGCTTTAATTATAGGTTAGCAACACTATCAGATCATATGTTGGGAATGATTTCCGAATGATCAATCAACTCTTATACTCCGTTGGAAGGAAGGGTGAAAAGGAAATGGGACAAAAGGAACTATTCCAAAAAGCATTAAAAAATAGGCTACGTATTAAATTTATATACAGATATTATTATATTGTTAAGAGGTTAATAAACACCGAAATGTAGATGAAGAAACATCAAAATGGGCAGCCATTTTGGTTTTTCAGTAAATATTATTGGGTGAGCATAATCGTACACATACTGGCACTGAGAATAGATGATTTTTGCTTAGACACGTACATGAAAACTTCCATGCAACTACCAGGGCCGGATAAACTCAGGGGTCTGATCAAGAAGCATAGAGGGGCTCTGGCTCCACTTTTCTTTTGATCCTGAAAAGGGGAAAAGATCAAGTAGAAAAATGATCACTACATAAACCATGAGTCACATAGAGAGGTGCAAGCATAGACTTCAGTCAATTAGGAAAGAAATTAGTCGTTGATATTTACAACAGATTTCTACTACCATAGATCAACTCATCCTTATCTCCTTAGAGCATTTCTATCGTCTTGCATCTATGGCATCACATTTATCGCCAACATAATGAAAAATAGTGAAAGAACTTCAATGATTACTATATCAAATGAATGAGATCCTTTCTTGATCTCTCCCATGTATGGCAGATGGTAATGGATGTGTTTCTCTAGGACACTTTTGGACAGAAAAATAGGACGTAACTAATTCAATTTCCATTTTTGAATATTGTTTCCCTGTGAGGATATAATCTCCATACACATACAAAGGACAAGTTCTTTATAGGTTCCCCTAGCATATCAATATGACAAGAGGGAAATATTGTCGATGATGGTAGCATGAGCATCGTCTGTTGACCATATATCATCCAGAAAAAAATATGATTCTTAATAGCAAAAAATGTTTATTACGAGCACCTTCTAGATAAATACTATTACGTTTATACTATGAAGAATAAAAGAATGAAATTGTGGAGCATAAAGAGGTGAAGAATCATCTCAAAAAAGGGAGAAGATACACATAAATGCTCATGTACATACCAATTATCTTCTGCCCACTTGCAGCCATCAGTATCTACCACATGCAAGCTGTATGCATGCCGTGAATTTGGAGATTGATTTTCAAAACTATAGTCCCAGCATTAAAAAATAAAAGAAAAAGAAACAAACAAACAAACAGTGAGTTATTGGGCCATTAAGCTGAATGAGCTCTGAATAAAATTCTTTAAACTAACCTTTGATGAATAAGATCACCATGAATTACAACCAAAGACCCAGCTTTCACTTCGATAGGGACAAAATCTTTCTGGTCATAGGATGGTGAAGGCCGATCAAAGTAAACTCCATCTTCACCCCTAATGAACCTCCTAACAAGGCCCTCTGGCAACAAAACAGAGCAGATCAAAATAAGATATCGTCAATCTATTTTAAAAGGTCACATATGGGGTAAAGGTAAAAACGTTACTTTTTTGAGATTCAGGAATGGCCCAAAGGCAGCCGTTTACAACTGTTGCATCTTCTAGAGCAAGCCACAGCCCAGTGCAAGTTTGAGGTTCAGTATAAAGAAATGAGTTGTCCTGGTGAGGAGTTACTTCGCCTCCTATACCTGGTTGCTGTCAAAATGACTCATACTTTAGCAGAACGAAAAGAAGTTCAGTATACAACCAAGTCTAACTCAGCAAAAAGTAAAAAGCATCAAAACAATCTGCCATCACATATTATAATTCAGACCATATGTTTACATCTGCTTTTACCAAAAAAGTTGCATACTCTGAATGACGAATAATAAAATGATTCGATTAACCACCTCCCAGAATCTTGCTTTTTTTTTTGAAGATACTCAGTGGGAGAAGACTCGAACAGAAGAAACAACACAGCCAACAAATGGAACCTCATTGCCCTAGGAACTCCTAAATCTTACAGGAAAGATTATACCCCTAAATGTTAGCAAAAGTGCAGCAATAGCAAGGTCCTGTAGGATCCACACATAGGGTAGCAGGAGAGAAGAAAAGACTGAATAATCAAGAATGAAAATAGCATGTAACTAGAAATAAATCGGGACAGGCCTGAGAAAAAATAAAATAACTCCAGGATTAAAAAAGGTGCCATTCCATCAGAATTCAGCTCAATCTTTATGCTTTGTCTGCAATATGATTTCCCACACCTTGAAAGAGCCAGTTAGTGAGCTCACATTATAAGCCAAATAAAAATTCCTTTACAGGGAAACATCCATGCAAAATGGACACATGAGTCATTGACTGAATGTGTTAATTAACATATGTAACTATAACTAAATAAAAGAAGAATCAGCCTTGGCACATATTACAAAATGCACCATCTCCCTCTAAAGTAAAACTATCATGTTCAAGTTACTGAAATCAGAACCTCTCTACAACTTGGAGTTGAAATTCTCAGGTTAGTAGCAATTATCACTAGAGAAACAATGCCTTCACGATCAAAGAAATGAAAAAACAAGTTAAATACCTTAAAAATATACATTGACTGAATGATCACTGGCCTCTTGTAACCTAAGGAGAAAAGCAAACTCGAAACTTTCGCAGAGCAAGAGAATTCTTTGAAACCTGGGTCAATCTCATGTAATGCTGCACAGGCAAATACATTGAAGGATTAGCTTCAATAAACATATATGTAACCTATTTACATGAACGTAATGCCATAATAAAAGCATAACAACCATTTAACACCTTTCAAATCACATACCATGCCCAACTTTATTAATTGAAAGTTCCTTCGGTTGCTTTAAGTTTCCATCATCATCAAATGCTTTTTCTGCCAACACAACAAAAGAAAAGACAAGTACCTAACGTTAACAAAGAAAACTAGCACCACCCTCGAAAGGCACCAAAGTGATAAAAAGAAAATAGATAATTTAATGCTAAAAGCAAATATCAAACTCTACCACATAATCCGCACTAATAACCATTTTAGCAAAGTGTTAATGCTTTTATACCATAGATAACATGTAAAAGCAATATAAAGGATTCAAGCTTTATCATGTAAGGTAGGCAAACTTAACTTATTCAAGTGCTTTAGTAAACGGTGCATTTAGCAACTTATTTAAACCTTTCAATTTCAATGTAACAACAGGTTCATTATATCCAAAATGTTTAGTTCTCAAAAGAAACTTGGGACTTTTAGAAAGCAAAATTAAGAAGAAAAAAGAAAAGCAATGGGAGAAACAATGGAAGAGTGAAGAAAAGTAAGAAAGCAACAATAATTAAAAATATACCTTCAAAGAAAAAGGAAATCTTTTCAGCACTTTCATAGAAGTATTCATCAGTCAACTTTAACTACAAAATACCCATATTGGGAAATTATCAAAATGTAAGCTTAGCTTTTATTTTACTACTACTCCAAGAAAAAAAAAAAAAACCGGATTTTTGGTGGAGAAAATAGAAGCGGTGGTGGAGGTGTCAAAGTCTTGAAGCAATTTGTCCATCCTCTTCCTCATAGCTTCAATTTCTTCAGGGCTCGTAAATGATTCCAGTACAAGGAAGCCTGAAAAAAAAAAAAAAAGACCCAGATTTGAAATTGGATCAGATAAAGAACTGAGTAAAAAAGCACCGGCTCTATTGCTTTTATAAAACAAATTGTTACGCCGAAAAGCGGCCGTGATGGTGACCTTGAGAGTTGAAGGAGTGGAGCTGCTCCGGAGTGAGATTTCCGACGATTCCCATGGCGGTTGCTTTCGCTGAGACAGGAAGGATTCTCAAAGTTTTGTAAAGTAAAAAGTGTTGAAATATGAAAATTTGTAGTCTAACAAATGACGTAAACGAGTTTGGACTTTTGTTATGTAACCTTTGACAAACATACGAGATCATGTCTCTGTAACTATTTTGCCTTGTAATAGACCATGACTAGTCTAAAATGATAAGAGGGAAAACAAATCCAGCAAGAAAAGATAAAGACCTTGACCAAAAATTGTACAGGCAAAAACAATACCCTGATTTCCGACAAATGTATACAAAATTTCTTCTTTTCTTTCAGTCTTACAATTCTAACAGCAACTAATTTACAAAAAATCACACAACCAGGGTGTGAAAGAATCTGATGTGTTATATCCACAGCTGGTTAGATACAGCAGCTGCTATCAATCTCCAGTTAATGCCGGGGTAATCCCTCCAATTGCAAAATTGTCAATTTTTGTGTCCTGTGGCATCATATACAAACAGATGCAACTCCCCATCAACTCAATCCCGGTCAAATAATTAGATCAATGTGACTTTTGAAAAATCCTCAAAGCTCCCAAAATTGAATTGTATGCCCCCTTGCCAAATGAAGAGGACAAAAAGAATGAAAATATTAGACACAAAGAAAGGGGGGGGGGGTAGCAGGTTACAGGAACAAGAAACACCCATCAAAATTTCTCTAAGCAGATCACGTGGCTGATGATGATATTGAGTCTTCTGATCTGTTTGTACGATGCATGCAGTCAGGGCATGGGAATGTATATATTGAATCATTTGGCCTTTTCAGTTCAAATCCCGTTTAAGTCACTATGAGACCACATATTCAGCATTTGTCGCTTGAAACTTTTCCACCTGGAATAAGAAGGATGGTAAATTGAATCCAGCAGTTCTTATTTCCAATTATCACAAATAAGAAGCATTCTACAAGAACCCATGATGATATGTGTTTCATTATAGAACATAGCAACTATCCCTAGATTTCCCCTAAGGACACTTCCAAAATGACCAATTGCAATGCCAGCTTTTGCTTGTCTGGTCGAATTGCCTTACTTTAAGGAAAAAAAAAAAAAAGTAACTTAGGCTTTGCTTGGTGGAGAGGATGGAAAGGGGTGAAGATGAAAAACTTGTTAATCTAATAGTTAAAATTCATAATCACTTTCCTACTTTAAAGTTTAACTATTAATTAATAAGTTTTCCATCCTCATCCATTTCCATACTCTCTACCAAGCAAAGCCTTAAAGTATAGGTAGATTTTAGATATAAGATAAATGCATAACCATTATTAGGATTATCAAATAGCAATGCCAACTTTCGCTTGTCTGGTCAAATTGTCTTTGAGTGTCCTCCATACAAGTATCTCCTGTGGCCCATCAGAAAATGAGGAAATTTTCCACCTTGAGTTTGTCAAAAATACCTCACTATGAAGGCAAACAGTATAGTCTATGGCAGCCATCCTGGAAGAGAAGTTCTGAAAGGAGTAATCCAAGTCAAAGAGATGATAAAATATCAAATGCCAAAGGCATTACCGAAGGTCTTAAAATGGAAAAAGGAAAAAAAAAAAAAAAGAGTTGAAATCTCATATATGCTTCTGACCTTATATGGAGCAAGTTCTTCCCCAGATGCCAGCATCTCTTTCGTTAGCAAGTTGGGAAACATTTCCAGTAATGGAGCCATTGTTTTCTCAGCATTGTATATTTTTCCAGATGCCAAAAAGATATATGTATTGTTATCAAATCCCATTCCTCTAAACATCAATCCAACCTAATAGGGGCAAGAAAATATTAAATGAATTATCATTGATATAAGTGTCAATATCTGTGTGTGTGTGTATACAACTATCTTGGGGATGCTTAAATTAACACAAGAACACCATAGTCATCACACTGTTGCAATGCTCATTTATGTCGTGAATTTTTGTTTTAATCTGTAACTTAGATATGCCAACTTTTGGTCAAGGTCAAGCAATAAACACATGAAACTGTCAAATAGACAAGGAAATTCCATAAGGCTGTTCAAGAGCAACAATAAATAATCTTTCCTGAGATTCCATTACTTCAAGCAGCATCGAATCCATAAAGAAGCAGTCAAATTGTGAGATCAGCCTAGTACTATACAAAAATGTTGGATTTAGTCCCTACTGACCAATTGAATCCCTACTCTATTGACTCAATTTGTACCGATAACAGTTACATCTGACATTTCAGGTCAGTACGGGGACTAAATTTAGAATTAGACCAAAAGGAGCAAATTCATCCACTTCATGATCTTTAACGCATAAAGAAACTACTAAGAAAATTCAGTCTTAAATGTGGCAAGCTATCTTAATTCTATCAAAGCCACAACCTCTCTCATTTTTTAATTACATCGATTCAGCAGAATGCTAATACACAATGCCTGTGACTGGACAAAAAATCATATTATATATCATGACCGGGTAAAGGAAGAAACTAACAATTCATTACTGAACCAGAAAAAAGTAGTCCCATAATTACAACATAATGAATACTTTTCGCTGGTCTACACATCCTATAAACTTAATTGCAAAGTAGTTAGAAAATTCTAGTTTTTATCTGATGCCATTTATCAACACTTTAGAGCATGAACTGAGAAATTCATCAAGGATTAAAACAAATTGAGAGCTTCTGACTACCATCAGCAAAGAAGACCTTCAATAATCCATTACGTACCTTAATCTACCAAGTACCATCCCAATCTAACAATAATAAAATTATCTTTTTTATTTGGATGAGTAACAATAATAAAATTATCATCTTGCAGAGATTGCTCCTGTTCAATTTTCAATTACAAGCAACTTTATAAACAACAAAAGTGCAACAAACAATACCTCTAAAGGAGTAATTGGGCATCTTCCATTAATCCTGATTGCTCCAGGGCATATAACTCGACCAGGTTTTGTAAATTTTCCTTTCCAGCCTCTTTCCCTCACTTTTTTCATGTCTTCTTTTTCTTGCTTCCCTCCATCAAATACACAACAAGAGAAAGCAACCACATCCTGCATATGGAAGAGTATACTGTCAGCTTCTTACAAAAATGGAGTTGATAACTATTAGTTTCGACCAGGGAAAAAATTTACTGCTACTTAAAGTCATAACAGTAATCCTTTTTTAGGTTAAAAAAGGTCATCGTAATACATTTTCTATTAAAGTAATACTAACATCCTCAAAGCGAAGATATATAGAAACATACTTGCCACCACTGTTTGCACAGCGCTCTTTCATTCTTGCTACCAAAGTTTCTCCAAGGCTTAGTATTGGACTTGAAAACCGTAAAGCTTCATAATTCACCAAGCATCCTAATTTTCAAAAAGCAATTCTTGGCTTGCAATGAAAAGAAAATAATTGCAATCAGGCTTTAAATACATTCTCCTATTCTTCGAGCAGAAAGCATAGTCAGCTTTTCGGATTAACATTTCGGATTTCAAACATAGTAGAGTCCTGAGATTTAATTGAATTTCACACAACCTAAAATCATCATGCAAGCATATAGCTAATTTCAGTAATATCTTAATCAACAAGGTTTCACCGCCTAACACGACCAATATAGAAATTTTCTAAAGCTAAAAATCAAGATATCAGGAGACAAATTAGAAGTAACGATAATGAAACTCTCCATTAGAGGATCAGATCATATGATATTTATCAGGTTAAGCTTCTCAATAAATATTTGCTTGTCAGAGAAATGATTACTAGGACTTTTATCACAATTCCATGATGGTACACAACCAACATGATAACTGAAAATAGACGGTCACAAACCTGGGATCCCGCCATATGCTATGATAATGGAAATTAGGGATTAGAAGTGTTGCATTAAGATAGCCAGCCACAGCAACTGCATTGCATATCTACAAAGTATCCAAAACAAACATGTAGAGAAAATATAAATTAACAAGATCATAAAATAGGCAAGCTTATATAAACCAGAGGTAAAGCATAAATAATAGAAACTAATTAGGAATAAAACCAACTGATGTCCTCCACTGATTTAAGCCTCCATTTGCCTCAATTTATATGTAACGATTTGATTCAGGTAAGCCTATAGTAGTTAAAGAAATAGCCAAATTTTAAACTATTGAAGATAGTCAACAACCAAAAAACCATACTCGTGCATATAAACATGAAGCATGCATAAAGAGAGCAAGGCAAATACTTTGAATGTGCAACGCACTGGAAATGGCACCTAAAACTCTACATATGTGACATTTACACTAACATGTTAATGAGGCTCCTGAGGTCCTCAAATATACTACGATTCTTGCAAAAACTTTAATGAGTTGCCCTCTCACATAGTGGACTTCTACATTTCCTCTCCTTCCCCCCCCCCCCCCCCCTCTCTCTCTTCCTCAAAGTAGCACTTTCAAATTCTGTCACTCACAATCAACAGTTTAGGCCAAACAAATCATATCGACCAAACATGATGCAAGTGTTGGTATGGTATATGCTTTTCACACACCTTTGACAGAAAGAATTTTCTAATGCTATAAATTCTCCTTGATATAATGGGAAAACTTTATTGCAAAACTTAGTCAAATTGCAGATGTGATTTTTAAACTGTCATTAACATAAGAACCAATTGGCAATGCTGAGCACCCCAAGATCATTGACTTACCAGCGTGAAAACCTAATCAATCAACATACTGAGTTGTCTGACCTTTTAAACAAATATATGGCTTGAAAATATAAAATTTGTATAAATAGGGGAGAACCCGGAAGCTCTGCAAATAATTTTAACTCCCTTCAGATGTAACTCTAAATAATTCAAGTGTCTGACTCCAATTCCTTTGTGGCATGTAATAAATTATCTTACATGCCAAAGCCATTCACTTAGACAATGATTACTCTTCCAATTTTTGATAGTCAAATATTGATGCTTGCAACAGTTACCATCAAGAAAAAGGGAGTAGATACAAAAAGAAGCAAACTTGCTGTCATTCGCCAAAAGTAATGCCAACAATGAGATTCAGTAATATAGATATTACTTATAATATATTTACTGCCACACAACTAGTTATCAGAAAACTAAAAGAGCCTAATTAATATCAATGAAGCAACAGAAATATTATCAAGAACTACTTAAAATAAAATAAAGGGAATGAATCCATACCTTCAGAGGAGTTGTTTACACAAGGCCTCCACTCCCCACCTTTATAAGAATTTTTCCAAATAGTCAAAATCTACACCAAATTCAATAAGTTTAGGGTAGATATAATCACAAACCATGAATCAGCATCAGATGTAAATCTCAACAATCAATTTGAAATGTTCAAAGCCTTAACCATGAAACTATTGCAGTAAAGAATAACTATACAAGTTAAATACATAAAAAAATTTCAAATTATATTAGATTGTGTTGTAATTCATATTGCTCTTAAGAATCACAATAAGAGAAGCTGGAAACAAAAAAAAAAAAAAAATACATTGATACTAGGCACCTAATCAACTAACTCTATTATGAAATGATACCATGGTAACTGTTTACCATCCTAGGATTCTGGTAACAAAGTGATTGAGTTATTCTTATTCCTATTCTGTAAAAGAATACTATCAAATAATTATCAAATTGTCAGAGTTAGTGTAAAGGAAGCAAATCATCAACAAAGCACCAGTATTGCATTGCCTTAAGATTTAATCATTCAAATGAAGCCTCTGACTTCAATTCATTTGTACTATAAATAGAACACAATACAATTATCTTTACCATAATATCCAAAAAAATAAAGTCAACTGGCCAGACAATGTAGCTTCCCATGTTTTTCAGATCCAGATTTGATCCGAAAGGTTGTTACAGCTGGAAATAAAGCATGTACAACGAGACACAGGGGTCTACTTCCTCAGAAAACAATAATGAAACTTAAAAAAAGAAAAAGAAAAATAACAATGCCAAAAATGATTCCTCGATTCAGCATTCTGTTTTTAGGTGTTCTTCAAATTGAGATATAAATTTAAAAACCTCTATATCTAAACTTTGTTCTTCAAATTGAGATATAAATTTAAAAATCTCTATTTCTAAACTTTTAAGAATTCGTAGAATTATTCAAAATACTTAAGACTAAGATAAATAACACAACATAAAATCATCAGGAAAAATTCAGATAACCACATTGCCCAAGTTCCTCAAAAATTTACGAGATCCAAACCCAGAAGAAAAAGGAAAATCAAACAAAAACTCAAAATTTGAAATGGTTCAACAAACAAATCCGACCCAAAACAGAAACCATACAAGAAATCATACCCGCAATCATAAAATCCAAGAATCCATCAAATTTGACTAAAAAGGAACAAATCAAAACCAGTTACTCACTGCATCAGCACAGGAATAATCGCCTGTCAATTTTAAGCTTCTCATAAACCTGGGGACTCCGGTAAACGGAGCCGGGTGCGGGTCGATGTTTAACAACGGGAACCACATCAAACGAAACGGTGCCCATGTAAAGAAGCATCCCAGAGACGTAAATGAGAGAAGCAAAGAGGAAAAACCCTTGTCGACGAAGAAGAACCGAGAGAAGTAACCAAGCCAGAAGATGGGGGACCCGACTTCCTCCCGTGGCGGTACCTCGGTAACCGTAATGGTGATGCCTGCGGTGATGGGGTGCTGTGGCCTCTACTAGGAATCCTATTTTTTGCGTGCATTTGAAAAACAAAAACAAAAAATATATATATTTGTTCCTTCGGCATTTTTTTTTCTTGCTGGCTAGTGGCTACGTCATAGAAGGAGATCGAAGCTTTTTTTTTCTTAATTTTATTTATTTTTTTTATAACTGAGTTTGAACGGGAGATTTTCAATTCTGAATTAAAAATAAATGACCATTTTGGTGAATATGGTGATTCAAGATTCCCGCATCAAAGAATTTCTAACTTCTATTTCACTTTCTATAAAAGGAAATTTAGTATTAGAGAATGTAAAGGCAACAATGGTGATCTTGTCGTTTCCTGTTGTGTCTAAATTTGACAATTGGAGTGAATCGTTCTCCCTTCCTTGTCTCTTGCTCCTAGACCCACGGCCACCATTCCCCCGGAACTCAGCTGTTTTTTTTTTTTTTAATCGAATCAATTAATCTCAACAAAATGAGCAAAAGATGAGAAAGAACAGTTGAAGTGACATGAAGAAATGGTATAGTATTCTCTTGCAGTTGTAGAAATCCACATTATATCAAGCAGTCAATCAAGTATCATGGGGGAAAGTAAACATTGGTAAGATGCTGCATGGTTGTCCGATTACGTATTCATCTGGTTTTCTAATTCCTGAGCTTCAATCCTTTGCCATGTCAAATCTAAGTTATGACCCTAAGTTGGAGTTTGGCAGGGGTAGTTTTAAAGTAGGAGTTCTCTTTCTTGGATAAACAGCAAGGCGGTTTTGTAAGGCAATGTTTGGTTTTTAAGATTCTTTGATAGGAGGACATCTTTTTGTCCCCAATGGAAAGTTGCTGTAGTACACACTTTGTTCACGATGAGTTATGAAATGTGAGTCCAATCCAAGATCTGTTTGAGGTGGTCTGGTCAAGCGTGGTCTGGTCAAGCGTGTTGCAGTCACCCAATGTATGAATTACATGTTCTATGTTATTGCTATAACGAACAACAAACAGGTGGGCGTGCCGGAGTGGTTATCGGGCATGACTAGAAATCATGTGGGCTCTGCCCGCGCAGGTTCGAATCCTGCCGCTCACGATTTTTCTCCTTCTTCAAAGATCAAACTTTCTCATTTTTCTTATTTTTCTTAAACCTTGTTAGTTTGATGGATTTTTGTTGCCCTTTTTAACACTGGGATCGAAAAGGTATTCCCTACGAAAAAATTTCAGCTTCTATTCACAATTTTTTTTACTTTTCACACTTTTTTATTTTAAAAATTATAAATAAAATTAATTTATTTTTAATTTTTTTTCCCGCTCTTTCAATTTTAAAATTTCTAAATTTTTAAATTTTAAAAAATTCAGATTATAAATCAAGAAACTTTTAAAAACCTTCATATTTACATATGATAAAGCTTTTAAAAATTGTCAGATTTACATATTTGAAAACTTAAAAATTTTTATAAGATATTTTTTTAAAATTTTTTTTCAAACTCTAAATATAATTTTTTTAATTTACAAAACGTAAAAATTCAATAAATTATAAAATTAATTGAAAATTTATATTCAAAAAATTTAAAATTAAGATATAAAGAATAATTAAAAAATTTTATTTAAAAAATTTTAAAATAATAAATATATATATATATATATATAGAGAGAGAGAGAGAGACGTGCTTAGAACTTCTCTTTCTCATTTGACCAAATAAAAATACTTTCGTAACACTGTATTTATCGGAGAAAATAATCAAAATTTTTCAATGAACTACAATTTTTTTTAAAATTAATAAAAACAATTACCTATTTTAATAAATAAAAAGATGATGGCGCGATATATTTTTAGTTAAAATAGAACAGGTCTATAGGTTTAAAGATTCTACGAAAGTAGAGGGGCAAACTCCCAACTTAGAATTATATAAATAAGGGATCAGCACAAGATATAAAGAACTATATTTTGTACAGACACTTGGAAATTTGCATTTCTAGGCATTTGTACAGAATTGGAGTTCATCTCAAGAAACAAGAAGTATATGTTCATTTCCATTAATAATCATTTGTTTCTCGCATGTAAAGTCTCATTTAATATAAACATCTTCTATTCGCTTGGCAAAAACTTTACTGCCAGCAAATGCAAAATATATCATTTGCTATAAATTTGTTTAAACTCGACACAGATAAACTTAGATTGAAAAAATACGAACCAAACAAAACTCAAAAATCTTAATTAAAAAAAAAAAAAGAAATATGCCATTTGCAATGGAAAGATTTACACCAAGTTGAAAATGGAATTTGCTGTAATTACAAAATGAGAATGGAGGAACTAAAAACAATTATAAACTTTGAATTGTAAGTTTTGCAAACCTGAATTTGCTGCCCTGTGAGTTGGTTGCTAGACAGATATTTTGACTTTTGTAAGAAGTTTTGGTTGGTTTCTAGGACTTAATTGTAGCAAAAAGGGGAAGAAAATCCGCAGGAAGCCATGCCATTGGCAATTTCAAGTAACTGAAAAGCCATGTCATTGGCGCCTTCTTTGGTAAAGTGAATAACCAACAAGGGCAGACATCAAAAACGTCGACAGCACCTGTCAGAAGACAAGTACATAAGTAGAAATCGAATGATTCCACAAGATGCTGGTCATGAACTAAGGAGCCAATAGAAATGGGAGCTCCATCTGCTTGTCTAAAAAAACCTTTATTCCAAAGTAAATCCAATTCCACTTCTTAGAAAGCAGAAAAAAGAAAACAGATTTTTCCAAAAGAAAGAAGAAATCAAACCAGGGAAAAAATGGGAAACAGTAGGGAAAGTACCGTATTGATGGTATGCCACCGTTCAAGCCTTCTAATCCTGGGCTGCATGTCTTCTATTATGCCTTCCATTGGGGAAGCCTCCTTACTCTGAGGATTCTGATGGTGGACTGCCACCCTGTTTGGTCCACTAAAACATTATTACTATTAAAAAATGAGTTATAAACCTTGATACCGTCCATTTTTATTGCATAAAAACTAATATCTTTATAAACATGTAGACCCTAAATTATCAAGAATATGCAAATAACATTGGCATGTCTATAATCTGATTTTAACATTATGTCCTCCCAATTCTATTTCATAAGGCTCTTTGTAAAGATGCAGACTCTAAACCACCATGAATATGCATATTGCAGACACTAATTGCCATGATTATAATCTGATTTTAATCCATCATAAGCATTATATGAAGAAGCTTATATTAAAGGCTACCTAGTATAGGTTGATTGCTTAATTTTATTTAACAATGAACACCTGGGATCGTATATGCTCCACAAGTTCCTGCAATCTTGCAGCTTGATGAATGTGAATTCCATTGTAACTTCTTTCCACCAGCGGTAATCTTTCCAAAATTATTTGGAGATAACTCTACAAGATGAATAAAGTCACATTAATTTTAATTTACAGACAAGTGGCAACAATACCGAATTATCTCACACAATCAAAGGCCAAACCTTTGTCGAGTATGACCCATCCAGTTTCAATGCGGAACCAGCAGCAGCCACAGCCTCTTTATTGACCCCTTTGATCTGTAGGTAAGAGCTAGGGGCATCTTGTAGATGATCAACCTCAATGAGAATCTAAAAAACAACATCAACATCATCTTTAATCAGCAAGTAGAAGATTGATAATGCATCAATTCCAAGTATTTTTGCACCCTGATAATATTATGCTTAATGTGTGCAGAAAGACTGCACATGCTTGGAAAATATTCAAGTCAAGAAAAATTCACACTCTCTGACCCCCTCCCACAACTAAATGTTTAGGTGATTGACTCAAGTTCAAAAATAGCGATTAACCAAAAAAACGAAAAGGAAGAGAAAAACAGTTCATAAACAGTGTAGTTTTCAACAGAATTAGTACAGGTATAGAAGATTGAATAAAAGTTTTGCCACTTCAAACTTTCCATGTGAACCTACTCACAAGAAAAACACACTCAAGAAAGAGCTAGGAAAGATAAATAGTCCAGAAAATCTATTCCCCCTCAAAGACAGTCTTGCTAACACCGGATATGCCAAATCTGAGCTGAGAGATGGTAGGTCTCATCTAAGCCCTTGCCCCTATAGAGATGAATGTGAAACCTCTTCGTTTGGTTCACTTGCAGCATCTAGTCTTTGAAATCAATTACCATCTGCTGTAATGTCAATCCCAGTCTTTGATATAGAAACAAATATCCAATAAACTTATTGCCCAGCAAAAGTACTTAACAAGTAGCTATATTAACACCATAGGAACAGGATCTTCCAGTAACTTCTACCAAATAGTCCACTATTTTATCATCTAGTCTAGACATAAAGTAAAAGTGCCTAATTTAGGAATATCTCTTGATCAGATTAATACAAGAGAAGTCAAAGCTCAGCCCAATTAAAATGCTAGCTAAATTCAAGATACACCTCTGATGTCCTGTCATGTGAACCTGTAGCGTAACCTTGCTTAAAACTTCCAACATGGCATGCTATGATGTCATTTTTCCAGATATTTTGTCCATTTTCTGACTTGCCACATCATATTTTTCATATTTTTAATTTTTTTTTTAATTTGATACAAACAGAATATTGCATCTCTGTTAATGTTGTCCAAAATTACTCAAAGTTAGATTTCAAAGGCAAAATTCAACTAAATTGAAGTAGAATAGCAAACTTCAGAAATGACCCAGAGTAGAATGGAAATTTTGGCATTAATCACGAATTAGAATGAAGTCAGAACATTGAAAAACTAGAAGCCAACACTTTCAGTCAACTAAATTGATTCCAAAAGCCACTCATGTCAACATAAAACGAGTATTATAAAACCCAAACCAATATTACCTCGCCATCTTGGTAGATGAGTGCAGATGCTGCAATACAGGCTACAGCTTGATACCTGACACCAAGGAAAGGAATAGACAACTCCAATCAATTGAACATGAACTTATCAGTGAGAAATGCCTGAAGGAAAGAAAAAAAAGAAACAGAAAATAGCAGACTATGGCCAATATGCTAATTTTTCAAATATGCAAGCTCTCAAAAATCATGACTACCATCTATATTAAAACATCAGACATGTATGTTTGAGCCCCATCATTAACAAATGCAGTGTCAACGAAAAAAGTCCCTCAAGTTGCATATTTCATGCCACTTTTTCATAAGTTACCCATGAAACTATACACCCAACCAGGGTTTTGAATTTTCAAAATCATATGAAAGAGTATCAACTTAACTTTCTCTCCCTGAAATATTCAAAGTTTTGTTCAACTGCACCTATTAATCCCCTCTCCCTTTTTTCCAAGAGAAGGAAAAAAAAAGAAAGAAAATTGTGAGGCATTTGGATTCAGCCTCGGAAATGGCTGCTCAAACCTCATCCTAATTGACAACATGGGGCTTTAATATCACGCTATTAACCATTTTTTATTCAATAACTATCATAAATGACATTCCATAATAGCAAAATTCTAGTGAACATCAACATTAAACATGTGACTTACCCAAGGTTAAGAAGGCCAGACACTGTACTAATGCTAATGTCAAAATCCACTTTGGGCTGAATGATGAAATTTCCTTCCCTTATTGGCTAACAGAAAGAATCGAGAAGAAATCAGAATATAAGTTATTCGCTACAGTTTTAGAAAAAGCAACTGCATTGCAGGGACTAAAAGATATTTTACATAAATTTCACTACTAACCTCTCGTATCAGTAATGCAAATCTTCCATCACATATTCTGACACGTATGCAGTCACTTTCTGCTAACTGCCCATTTGCAGGAGTTCCAGAAAGCCTTAAATATATATCAATGAAATTCTGAACAGAACTACAGAACTTTGCAGAGTCAAGGATTTTTAAAATATCTTGATAGGCCACCTGATACCAAGAACAAATAGGAATGGTTTGTCAGTAAAAAGACTAGGCACACAAGTTTTAGACTAGAAACTTTGTAATATTTACTTGTTTGTTACTCTTCAAAACAAATAGTGAACTCTCAGGAGAAAGAGCAGGATCAAAGTCATTTCTAATTTTGAGCTGCAAGAATACAAAAAAGCTTCGGAACACAAAGTTAGCCTTGTGATCAGAGTTATTGCTGAATAATCATCAGAGTAACTCACAGAATCATACCTTTACATACATATATGTACATTCAACATATATTGTCATGCATAGGTTAAATACATACACATGCAGTACAATACTTATCAACATGTATACCTACACAAAATCTAAACAGAAAGAATACCAGAAGTTTTCTGATACTCCAAAGCACATCTCTGTACTAAAAGTTTGAGATATTCAAAGACAACTGACATGTGCATGAACAAGATGCGGTTCAGCATGCTGCTGGAATATTGGAAACACTGTCATCATGATCTCATTTTGGGACAAAAAACACCCCACTCTACTTTTGTCCCTTTGAACTTGAGAAATCAGGTGTGAATGAACACCTCCAACCTGGTATTGCAGAAAACAACCAACTTAATATTTTTTTTTCTCAAAGAAAACAAGATAATACACATATGGTATGAGAAAATCAAGCCCCAGAGATGGATTAGAGAAGTCATCTTACAAGAGCAATCCACAAATCAAGGGATTTTCGGATGTCAGGATGCAAAACATAAAGCCCCTCAAAAATGATCTGGTCGGCAGAAACAAATTAAATTCTAAAATGTTACGAGTATTTAATCCCAATGGACTAGAACAACTTAGCGATGATTTCAATTAAAGAAATATCAGATAGTATTTATGATTAAAAACAATCTTTCTTAAAAACAACTAAAAGGCCACTTGAATCTAGAGAGAATGAATGGTTTACCTTAGCAATTCATCTTTCATTTTCTAAACCTTTGGTATATTTTACCATGTTATATTTCAGTTAAAAAAATATATAATAAATAACTTTTTAAAAAAAAGCAAGGTTTGACAGCAATGAAATGAATATGTAACAGACCACACCACAATCTTCAGATACTTCAAGCTCCTTGAACCCACTACGAGAACCAGTCTCCATGTCGAATACAGGCATTTTTGTCCTTCGACCATACCTTATGTCACCAATGTTCTGCAAAGATGAAATAGAAATAGCAAAGCATTATTGATCAGATTAAAACTTTCCAATCAACATTAAACATAAACCACAAGGTATGAAAATATTTTCAATCTACATTCCTTTTATTTATGTATAACATATGGCACCAGCATCCGGATACCATTAAGCTCTCCTTGATTAATGAGTTCATTTCTTATCTTTTACTTTGGTTTTCACTATTTTGAAAATGAAAATAAAAACACTTCAACTAATTTTTGTTTCCAGAAAAGTCAAAGCAAACACAAAGTTTTCACAAATGTTGGAAACAAGAAATTATTGCTTCTAATGGTTTTGAAAACAATGTTTCCACTGCTGTTGATATTCATTATAGGAATGATATTAATATAACATTATTTATACAATAATAGTATTCTAAATTTATAAAAGGTGACTATTATAATATTATAAATATGCTGCAATGAATATATAAAAAAATAAAATATAGATGACATGAATATAATAAATCAATATTTCAAACAGAAATATAGAGTACAATACAAAATTATATAATACTATAATTATAACTAATTTTTGAATTTAATCTGAAATAACAAATAAAAACCTGTCAAGATTGAAATTAATATGTTATACAACATATATAGCAAAGACTTGTAGATTTTAATATGTAAATGTAAATGTTATTTATATACATTATTACTTTATTACTATTACAATTTACAAATCATTTCCATACGGTAAAAATATATATTTACAAATATTATTTTCTATATATTATACACATTACTTGAAAGTACTGAAAAAAGTAATATTGGTGAAATATCTTTGATAATTTGAAGAAAGAATAATATTATATATATATATATATATTGACAAAGACTTTTTTTTATGTCCCATGTCTAAAATTAAGCAATACATTGTTTACCAATGGAAACAGACAATTGGTGTTACCAAATGACCCTTAAGCTTTATTAAAATTTTTTCCAAAATTAACAAAATAATTTTCTTATTTTAGCCATCATATTTCTCAAGTGGTGAGGATCAACATGGTCCTTAAAGAATTCAATAAAATTTTAGAAAAACTATGAAAGTCAGTTAAAAACTTTAAATTGTTCAAGAAGCATGTGAAAGAGCAATATCTAGATGATTGAAAATGAAAACATGGAATTTTGCATTCAAGGAAATTGGTCACCGTGTTATAAAAATGAAGTGAGGCTGGAAGTGGAATTAAGTTAACCATTGAATCATAACCCTTACAAACCTTTAGTTACTCCTTAGTTTTCAAGGTGTATGGTTTACCACTACTATGGTTTACATGAAGTTAAATGCGTCATTCAGCCTCAACACTTAAGGCACATATTAATATATGAAACAACTTAATAAAATGCACACAAATATAGAAGCTTACCTTTGAAAGCAAAGGCAAATCAAGAGAGTTAAAGTCATCGTATTTGAAATGCTTAACTTGCTCTGACTTAAAATAGCTTTCAAGGGAAACTACCTCACAACCAACAATATTTGCCATTTTATGTGCCAAACTAGTCTTTCCAGATCCACTAGGACCACCTGCAAAAGCAGGTGAGACATCAACAGCACGAGTTTTGCAATCAGAAGGGGAAATAGTAACAAATTCGGAAGTAAATTATGAAAAACTACATGAATTTATTTCTTTCTTCTTTTATAGGTCAAGAACTTAATAGTCATTTATGTAGTTCCTACAAACTAAAGAAGATGAAGTGTGGATTAGAAGCTTCAAACTCTGGTTATCACATTGACTAAGCCACTCAAATACAGAAATAGGAAAAGAAACATTGGATTTCAAAATTGCTTCCCTAGTAAGCCAAAAGAGTTATGCTACATGAAATAAGATTCACAAAATGGGACAGAGGCAAGTATCTAAAATCATGGTAAAAGCATATTAATATTGATTTTCATACTTTATTTAAAGCTAATAACTATCAAAGAATTTACTATGCAGTTATCCAAAGAGAGCTAACCAAACTGTTTGACCAACAAGTAGTCACACATTTTCACGAGTCATGACCAACCAGACTCTAAATTTGTGAAAGAGAACTATACTTGCTAGGACTAGTTTCATGCACTCAAACATTATCAACAAACTCGAATAGAAGTTTGTATCACCAATTGAGAGAGAGATGTATGTTTTTGAGCATTACCAATTCCAACTATAACCGGAAAACCTTTATTCTCCAATAAAAACTGAAAAAGAGAACCAAAAAAAAAAAAAAAAATCAGCTTTGGACATGACAGATATTCTCATAAACTATTTACCATTACAAGCCTTTTCAATATAAGAGCTCTTCATTACCTGTATTCCTTGAACAGCAAGAAGCAAGCCCCGATCCAAGTCATAAGAATCAGGCATTGGGGCAAGTTTCATCGTATCCCTGAAAGCAGAAGAATCTGTAGCTGCTTCATGAGAAAGTCTACACATAAAGTTAATTACAACTCTTCATGATATATTTGAGGTAAAGAAATAACTGAAAAGTTGAACCTGAGGCTTAGCCCAAATCATTCACCCACCTCCCTTACGAGGTGGATTCCCACAAGGCTGGGGTCCAATCCCCAACAATTACAATTCCCCTTCCCTTATCCCCAAGGCTTCGCCCTCCCTTTGTACCAAAAGAAATACTTGAAAAGTTATTGAACTGTCCAAGAGGAGGAGACGTACCTATAACAGAACCGCCATGTGAAAGATCTGATGAAGTAAAATGCCATGTTGGTAATACAGGTTCCATTTTAGATTTTGTCGGAGATCGAGTCCAAGGCTGAGATATATTCTCAAGCCGGGGTAACAAGGTTTGGAGTGGTACAGATAGGCTTTGGTGCTGCAATCACTTTTTCTTGATTACTAGACACGAATGTAGTAGAAACAAGCAGAGGAGTATTGAGGCGAGGTACACCTGAGAGTGGAATTAACTTAAGCAAAAAAGAAAAGCAATAGTTACACTGACAGAAGGAAAGTTAGACGGAGATCATATCTAGTGAACAACCTTTTCTTTCAAGAATCATTTCCAGATATGACTTAGTGAGCCATTGTCCAGTAATACCCATCCTCAACACTTCTGCTCCAACTGTCTATGCAACAGTATAGCAACCAACATGAACATAAGTTTTTCATCAATTGTTTTTCCATAGAATGCTGAAGATGAGAGTTTAAATTTACTCACTAACCCAAATACTTACCACAAAGAACCAAACATGATAGATAAAGATTGAAAATTTGCAAGAAGATAACAAAAGTTATACATTGGATTTCGACAACATACAACATGTTTACCATAAAACAAAGGAGAAACTTGAGTTCTCATTTTGAGTTTTTTGCATGATACTTAAGCAATTGCATCTGATCACTCTCACTCAATGCTGAACCAAACTAAAGCAACAACTTTTTGATTGGTCACAGCAGGTCCATATATATTCCTTTTTTTCACATATCTTACTTGTATTAAAGTCAGCTCTATATGAAAGGCCACAAGGTGATAATCTCACTCATTAAGCATGCCTAATGGATAACAAAACGTCTCTTCACAATTATCTCCAATTATCAAAACTTTTCTTAAAACAAAGAGCAAGCTAACAGGATCATATTCACACATGTGAGTGTTAGTCATAACTCATAATCCATGTATAACCAACAGATATGACAGATATGCAACGTACATCAAGCAAAACATCTTATACTTGAGTGTGTACCATTCACTGCGATATATATTAATATTTTCTGATGGCAAGCGCGGAATAATTTGATGAAGATATAAGAAACTAAAGAAAACCTTAGATGTTTCCCTCTGGAAGAAAATTAAGTTCATACTTTCCTATCTGTGCCCCTTAGCACCAAGAAGGTTTCTTCAAGAGTATCAATTGTTTCAAATGACAGGGAAAGACTGCCAATGCTAACTGCTTTTGATGCCCTTTTGAAACTGACTACAACATTGTAGCCCAAATACAGCAGTCCACCTAGTGTCATCCTTCCAACCTGTTCAAGATTAGATATCAAAACAGGTAAAGAAAACCACATTAAGCTATTTGTAATATTAAGACACCATCTCAGAGGGCACAATGAACAAACTTTCAGATGGTTTTGACATAAGTTTCCACCAAAAAGAAGCGTGTTTTTTTATCTACTACAGCGATGCAGAGAAACAATCATAGAATACAGATCGACCTAACTTTTTAGATGGTTTGTTACATAAGTTTCCAACGTCAAGAAGTATGTTATGAAATATCTTCTAAATGATGTAGAAGAACAATAGATCGAGGACCAATATAAGCTGAGCCAATCACCAGCAACTTCACTTTTAATCATCATGTCGCATATAGCTATTGTGGCAGAATATGTTTGTATTACTGCACATAATTGCCCATGTTAAAAAACAATTAACAAAAGAATACCACTAAAACAAGTCTGCATCTTTAAATGATTGGAGTTAGATTTGGCGTTATACCACAGCCATGACCACTGCAACTCTGCCCAATAATGCTGGATTTCCATCAACTTTAACTACATATGACATAAATGGCCAGAGTTTGTTGAAATAAAGACGCCAATAAGTGGGATAAAAGTGACAGTATAACCACAGTTCAATCAAAAAGTCTGGTATTTAACTTTTCCAGAAGCCAATAAACACTTAAAGTGCTACTTTCAACATGTTGAATTTTGGAATTGTCTCAAGCATGTTACATCTGAATGAGGTACTATCACATTAGACAAATATGACAGGATTCCAACCTTCGTCATCTATTAGGAAAGAAATGCACAGAATTTATATTAAAGAGTAGCTCTTCGATAACAAAAAAAAAAAGAGTAAAAAGAATATACCTTATAATGAGTAAAATTTATATAGATTTCTTTTGATAGTATAAAACTTTCAAACAATAAAACTTATACAGCACATATAAAAGATTAAATAAATTAATACATTCAAAAGTATGAGAAAAAATTAAAGCTTTTCAACTCATAATTTAAAGGGTTTAGGAAATAAAGAAGGAAGAAAAGGGTAAAGTTATTGTGTGCAAAATATGTAGATAGAGATACCTTTAACCATTGCCTCTTTCATAACCAATTTAGAAAGAAACTGATAAACATGTATAACAATTAGTGTCAACTACTAATTTCATTCCATAATGAAAACACACGTATTTCATTGATCAAAAAGACAAATCCTTAATTTAAGGAGTTAAAAAATCAAGTGTAATAATACTTATAATAAAGGGAAAAAAAGTTATTAATTGGATTTAAAATGAAAAGAGCCCATAACTTATAAAATTCACTACATCAATTACAAATTTTGTGAGGGGGCCAAAAAAACAAAATTTACCTTTTTAAAGAAAAAGATATAACCATACAAAGCTTTCAATAGCCAAGGGGGGGTCAATACCCCTGATGCCTGCCCCCCCCCCCCCCCCCAGCTATACCACAGCATGTAAACTATTTTGACAGTAACACAGCCAACCCAGAGAATGAAACCATGACACATTTCAGTTTGACAACAACGGCAGCACTAGAGTTGTAAACGAGGACAAAAAGCCTGACCTCAAATTCAGCTTTTGGTCTGATGATGAAATTTTTGTCGACAATTCTCTGATCCCCAAGTGACAGATAATATCTAATACCAGATTGCCGCACCTTAATCCAATCATTTATCCGTGCTTCTTCACTAGCTGATGGGGGCCTAAGGTACATCTCAATGAAACTGAAAGCAAGATGAACTTTTCATTTCAGTTCCAAAACATCAAAAGAAAAAAGCAGTGAGAGACAAACATAACTAACACTCTGCATATAGATATTATGTAGTAATAGTCAGAACCACTCACTTATCAGTTTGTGCTTCATTTTCTTCAAAGAAAGAGGTAGAATGTCCATCAGGTGGCTGCCACAACAATATATTTTCAAATGAGATTTTCAAGGGTATAGCTGATTAATAATACAAAAAATAATTTATATATTAAAGCCAAGGAACATCTAGAGGTCCTTAACAATAAAAGGATGTTTACTCAAGACAGCTCCAGGTAACTAATTAATCAATTTCTTGTTCTTTTCTTCCTTTTTTTTTTCCTTGGCAAGGGGTAATATATTTAGAGTTTTCTATGCTTTCATTTCCACTCTTCCCCATTTCTTTCTATGAGCATGACACTAATAACTTAAGAAAGTAAACCACTTACACCTTTTGCTTTGTCTCGTTCACATTTGTATCGTTTTTTTATGAAAGAATTTGTAAAACCTAGAGTAATATCACAATGGCTACAAAACCTTATTTAAGCCTTATTGCCATATGAAACTCAATAAAGCTGTATTCCAAGATCAAGAAAATTCCAGCCAGCACATATATACCAACCTAAACTGCAATAGTTACTAAACAAAGAGAAGATATCCATCGTTCATATATATATATATATATATATATATATATATAGAGAGAGAGAGAGAGAGAAGCTGAGACAAAATATCAAACTGTTTGTCCTAAAACATACTTCGAATGGGACATTATTCCAACTAGGAACCATGGGCAATGAAAATATCATTAGGTAATTGACAATTTTGGTCTAAACCATTATGCCAAATTATTCCCTCTAGTGCAATGGCAATCCATATGATATGAGTTGACAAAAGATACATGCTACTACAAACGTGACCAATATTGAGTCCAAGTAACTATATATAGATGCATCATAACTGTCCTCACAGAGTTAACACAAATAGTTGAGAGAGAGCAATTTTCGTATGTTTGAGACCAAATGACCAAAGAAGTCCATAGTCAAGTATGCAAACTAATAACATAATTAACAAAACCACATATTATCAAGATAATATGACAGTGTTTATGACAATGAACCATATAATGAACATTCTTTGTTGACTCCAAATAGATCTATAAGTTCTCTATACATTTTCAATATATGACATTATGCCTAGAATTTTATGTAACAGTAAGATAAGAAGTAATCACATGCCTCACTTCTGCATTTCAGCTTGTAGATTGCTTCTCTAAATGATGATACAAAGCTGTTGTTAATTCTAATCTGCATGATAAACAGAATTAATGAGGAATTGCCAGTTAATTTTCAATAAGTAAGAACAAAAAAAAAAAAAAAAAAAAAAAAAACCTGTGCATGATGAAGGTCAGGCTCAATGTGCTTTCTAAACAAAGGGAAAATGCTATCAATAAGGTAATCCAGGGAGCAAGAATCTCCTATATCATATCGAACTTTGGAAAGAAGACTAAAATGAACACCACCAACCTGATACACCATGACATATTCAGAAGCATAATGTCAATATCTGGTAAAAAATTGATACCTCCACCAAGCCTTAATCGAACCTAACTCTTAGGGAAAAAGATATTACCACTGCAACTCGGATATCAAGCAGAGAGCGCAATTTTGCATGCAGAGCATAAGTACCATCAACTATTACCTAAAAAAGGGATGAGCAAATTAAGTCCAAAGCAGCCATAATTCAAAATAAATCCTATTTCATACTTGCTTACCACACCGGACGTAGTACTTTTTATAGCTTTGGAACCAACACGTTTCTTTTGTTGAAAATCAAACACTGGTATCATAGTATCTTTCCCTTTTGTCAGATCCTGTATTCAACCAAAAACAAAGGGAAAATTTTAAGATGTATACATATTAGAACAACACCAAACACATCGAGATGAAGAAACAATTTCCATAAGCAATAAATTAGATGAGTGTACCACTCAAACAACAATTTCGTAACATGTTGACCCAAAAAGTCAACAAACAATGGATATTTTAACTGAAAAATTGCATTTACCAGCAACTAGCCATTTTGCCATGTGCTCAGCATATGAACAATTATGATGTTGATGTCAACATTAAAAACCATTTTATCATGGTTCAATCTAACCAAAAAAGTAAAAATTCAGCCATTATAAAGAAATGAGAAGCAGATACAAACCTCAAGATTTTTTATTAATGCATCAAAATCTATTGAATCCAAATCATTCCCTTCATCAACTCCATCACGATAGTTCTCCATTAGTATAACAGTGCAGCCGATAACAGATGCTACCTTCTCTGCTAAGCTTTTGGAAATTGGGACCACCAGATAAACCAAAAGATTTTATAATACGAAAAGAAAGAAAGTATGCAGCACAAATTATCCCGATTCTTACAAACTTTCTTTTGAAAAATAAATAGACAGATAGATAGATAAATACCTTGTTTTTCCTGATCCACTGGGACCACCAATGCCTACTGTGACAAAACCCTCCTTTTGCTCTCTGAGTTCTTGTATGGATTTGACAAGCAAATAATAGCCATGATCAAATGACTGTATCATTTCAACCCAAACAATCATCAGGCTCAATGTAAACTTTCAAAGAACATTGCACATTTAACTCAAACAATCAACAAACTGCAAATTAGAAGTTAATAAGAGACCAAATATTACTAGCGTTGACACCATATAGGATGAACTTGAAACAGAAAATTTGGAATTTATGAGATAAAGCACCACAATATAAAACATAGGCAACCAATAAAACAACTGCATATGGTAACCAAAATTCATTAAAGTTATTCAAACCATCTGTGTATATGCTACAGACAATACTGGTGAAGAAAAATAAATAGAAGGAAGGTGAAAGCTTTCAAACATGCAAAAGAATTTTGAAGAAAAATTAGGAAGAGAGAAAGAGGGAGAGCATCTCACATTATTTGGATGAAACCAATTTTTGCTTAACTCACTTATTCAATCCTAATTAGCACAACCTTTGGAATTATAAAGTTTATTTAGAGATTTCCATACTTATATCAAGAGTTGAACTCGGGGGAAACCTTGCATGATATCATCTAGAATTCATAGTCACTTTTTAATAACAGAAACAGCCATCAAAATTTATCATGCAGCAAAATCGGGGCAAACATCAATGGCATAAAGGCAACATCAAAAACTGCAATACTAGTTTGACGTACCAACAGCTCAAAATGACATCAAGTCAAATTAGACAACGGTGAACAATTACAAATTCAACACATATGTAAAACACAAAAATATCTAAGAATAAAACAGCAATGGTACATGAATAAAGAACCAAAAATGCAAATATTGATCATGATTCAAGAATATAAGTAGCAGAAAATCATTTGTTTCCAAATTTCTTGATTTCCCAAGTTTAAATACTTGTTTCCTGAAACTAGAAAACCATGATCACAGCAAATGCAACGAAAAAATGTGAATAGTCAAATAAACAGAAGAAAATGCCTATCAATAACAGAAATTCTTCATAATCCGAATTTCATTAAAGAAATAACAAGGACCCAATAACCCAGAATTCAAATACTCAAAACAAATACAACTATTTTTGGTTTCCAAATAACAATAATAAAGGGGGACTTACCACATGGAGAGGAAGAGATTGAAGAAGAAGAAGAAGAAGAAGAAGAAGAAGTGGAAGTTGAAGGTTGTTGATGGAAATAGTCTCGTCCTCCTTCTTGAAATACTCTTTGTACTACTTCATCCTCCATTTTTTTTTGTTAAAAAAAATCAAAAAATGTAGGATTTTTGTTCTTTCCCCAGTTCTGAGTCTGCACTTATTCTGCTTTGCTTCGCTTGGGAAGAATCAATAATCAATCAAATCTTATTAAGGAAGAGAAAGAAAAAGATAATGAAAATTTGAAAGTTTCTTTTCTTTGCTTTTTATCTTTCTTTCTTTCACGTATGCTTTTCTTTCTTCGCCGCGTTTTCTCCCGCTTGTTTTCCTTTCTCCTCTATTCTTCTTTTTCATATTTTTAGTGTTATTGTTTCATTATTTTTTCTCCTCTATTATTATTATTATTATTATTTATTATTATTTAAATGTTTCTTTATAATTTTATTTTTTATATTTTAAAATTTTGAATTAAAATTACAAGTTTAACCATAAAAGCTACTTTATAATTTAAATCAAATTTTTATTCATAGATCTCCATCTCAATTCTTAACAATTTACTGTTGGATTTGGTTGAAATCTCACCGAGTTATTAACATAATTTTAAACCCAAATAAAAATTGATTTTGATGCAAGCTAGAAATCTATCTTACTTAAGCTTCATTTGAATTCACTCGCTGCATCAATGTGAGGAGAATTTTTTTTTTTTTGGTGCAATCGTACCATTTCATTTCGTTTGGATGTCCACTAGTGCAGTGTGATTGAGCTCCTCTACTGCACCGAAGCAATAATTCTTTACCGATAAAAAATGATCTAGTGAGCTACTGAACTAAACTATTTACTATAATGCCATTATTTTTTATTTTTTATTTATATTTAAATTAATTAATGTTTTGTATTTTACTTGTTTAATATTATTTTATTAAATTTTAATTGATATAAAATATATTATTTGATATAAAAATAATTTTTAATCATTTGTTAATTTTATAAATGTGAAATAATTAAAATTTTTATTATAAAATTTTTAATCATTTATTAATTTATAAATTAATTATTGCTTTGTATTTTACTTTTTTAATATTATTTTATTAAATTTTAATTGATATAAATATATTATTATCAATTTTAAAATATATATTATTTGATATAAAATAATTTTTAATCATTTATTAATTTTATAAATATGAAATAATTTTAAATTTTTATTTTATATAAATTTTAATTTAATATCTTTAATAATTATTTTTTGTTTCATTATAATTTATCTCACCATTATTATTATTATATTTACATTCAAATACATATATTATCACAAATTTTAATTTTATTATTATGATCATTAAATTCACTACCAATCTTATCAAAATTAAATTTACCGTCCATATAAATAAACCCTATTCGAGATCCTCAAATTTGATGCCGTCATTTTGCTTTTTCCGATGCCATCCTCAAAGCTAGCTATGAGCAGTGATTTGTATAGTAAAAAGAAATAAAACTATTTTATATCTCTCAAATCGAAATTACGAAATTTAATTGATCGATTTCATATAATATATATGTTAATTAAAATTGATCAATTTTATTATGAATTTAAATAAAAAATTAAATCAAATTTACATTTAATTAAAATCATATTACATGATTGAATATATTATAATATATACCATTACAATTACTCGTATTCAATATAAATTGATTGTATTAATTGATAAATTCAATATTTAAACAAGGATTAAGTATTAAAATTGGATTAAATTAAAAAAAATTATTCTCTCTTGATATCACAGGAGAATGTAAATGTGATTCAGACCCATGTATTGCGATTTGGACCCATCCGATCAAATAGGTTTTCAGAAACCACGGCGGTGGAAAAAGCAAGTGAAGTGGCAAAAACATGGAGCCCAAAACTATTTCAGCTGCAGAAATTAACCAATTTTTGTGCACAATACAACGAATGAATCTTTTGTCCAAGCATTGTTTAAAACACTTTTTCTTGGATTTTGATCTTATCAATTTTCTTTTGATGTCGTACAATTAGATCTCGAAATTTGTTGATTTGTGTCAAGTTTTTTTTTTTTCCCGTCGATTGTTGAATAAAAATTTTTAAATAAATTTTTATTCGATTTCGATCTAATTCAATTTATAAACATTTTTACCTATAACATCGAGACATTAGTAAGATTTTTTTTTTGGCTAAATGGCATTTGAAATTAAAAATATAGAAAGTTATTCTTAAACACGAAAATATAATAAAGGTTTTGCACTACTCAATTGATTTTAATTTTTTAAAATTTAATAAGGTATCAACATAAATTGCATGTATAAACCTATCATCAAACATCTCCGCACATAAGTGGTAATAAAAAAATTACGTCATAAAAGGCAATTCAAGGAGCATTTTTCCTGATTAATTAAAATCTTTTTCTTCAATAAGAGTAATTATGATCTTTGTTCCATAAATAATATAGTTTAAGCCATACCATTGTATATTTGGTAATTAGTGGTAACTTGACAGGTTGTAATTAAATTTTTTTTTCTCTTTTTTTTTTCTTTTCACCGGTTTGCGTTCAACGCAGGTGGATAATCTTTCATTTTCATTTAAGAAAATCAGTAATTGAATTTTGATTCTTTCACTAAATAATTATTTTGGGGATTTTTTTTGGAAAAATAATTTCATTTTTTGATAATACGGAGAGGGAAATGGCCTGAAATTATGTAAAGACGAGTCTTTATAATCGGCAATGATAAATTACCTGCTTCATCATAATATGTCTGGTTTGTACTCAAGGAGTATTTGGTTTATGAAATATTGATTTAAAAAAAAAGTGTGATATTCAAGATTTTATTTCATTTTTATGATATTTTATATTCAGATTCATTCATTTAATTATAATGAATTTACATATATTAATTTTTAAATAATTATCATAATTTTTTTAATATATATAATGGTAACTTTTTATTCATTTATATATTAATTTTTAAATAATTATCATAATTTTTTAATATATATAATAGTAATTTTTTATTCATTTTTATTAATAATAAATACTCAAATGATAAATGATACTTTTACCAATAAAAAAAGATAAATATTTTATTTGATTGTTATTTTTATTTATAAAATATCATCAATAAAAAATATTAAAAATTATATAAAGCGTTTATAGTTAGGAAATGCTTTAAATAATCTCTTTTTACTTTTTAAATGATTATTTAAGACATTTTTATCAAAAAATGCCTTAATAAATACTATTTAAAAAATATGAAATGATTATTTAATGCGTTTTAAATTTTTTGTCAAAAAATATCTTAAATAATCTCTAATTTTTTTAAAAGGGATACAAAAAATACCTTAACTAATCTCTAATATTTTTTTAAGGAAATTGTTTAATACATTTTTTATAAAAAAACGTCTTAAATAATAATATTCATTTCTTTAATTGTATTATTTAATGCATTTTTTATTAAAAACGTTTTAAATAATCACTTTCATTACTTATAAGATTTAAGAAATAAAATATAAAAAAATTAAAGTAACTCAATTTGTTAGAGTATATAGTTATTAATCATAAGATTATAGATTCAATCATTTATTTTAGTGTTTTAGTTTTTTTAAAGATGATTATTTAAGGTATTTTTTGTTATTTAAGGCGTTTTTTATAGATAAAAAAAACATAGCTTAAATAATACATTTCATTTTTTTAACAGTATTATTTAAGGTATTTTAATTAAAAATATTTTAAATAATTTATTTCATTACTTATAAGATTTAAGAAATAAAATATAAAAAAATTGAAGTAACTCGATTAGTTAAAGCATATAATTATTAACCATAAAGTTATAAGTTTGACCCCTCTTTAGTGTTTTTTTATTACTTTTTTTATTTTTTTATTATTTACCGTGTTTTTGCCATAAAACAACTTAAATAATATTTTAAAAAATTGAATAAGATTTTTAAAGCGTTTTTCATGTCAAATGCCATTAATTACAATATAAAAAAAAATTAGCAACAGAAATCTATAATTAATTTACAATCACTTCCAAATATACTTTTCAAAATAATAACGGTAATTTCATAATTTTTTATTAAGGTCAATTTTGTAAATAATGCAAATTTCACATATTTATTTTTAGGGATTAATTTTTTTAAGGATTATTTAAGATGTTTTTAATAAAAAATATATTAAACAATTATAAAAAAATTGAATAAAATTATTTAAGGTATTTTTTCATGCCAAACATTATTAATTGCAATATAAAAAAAATTTTAATAGCAAAAATTTATAATTAATTTATAACCACTTTCAAACATATTTTTTAAAATAGTAATGATTATTTTATAATTTTTTATTTAAATCAAATTTATAAATAAAATAATTTTTTCTCTCGAAATTTTAAAATGTCATAATGAGAAGTAAATTTTTTATTTTTAGACTTTAAATATTATTAAAAATTTGTAACTTTTTTAAAATTAAATTATCTTAAACTAAACATTAAAATTAAAATTTAATAATAATAAAAAAAAAAAACTTTTTTCTCTGACCAAACATCTCTTAGATATATAGGGAGGTTTTGTAAAGATCTTTGGGTTTATCTTTGGTTATTGTGACCCATGTTGTAATTGATTTGAAAATTCTATGAATATAATATTTTTTGAATTGACAAAAAAAAGAAAACGAAATGGCCCAAAATTGTAAAGAGATAGGGATGCAGTTCGACGTTGGCGGCTAACTTTAAGCATAGACGTAATATTATAAAATATAATACGATGATATAATATAAAAATAATATAATTTAAAATTTTAATAATAATTATATATAAATTTAATAAAATTTTTAAAAAAATTATATTTTATATTTTTATATTATATAAACTATAATACAAAAATTATATTAAATATAATATAAATATATAATTTTTAATATTTTATGTAAATATATAAATTATTATATTTATTTAAATACCCCTTTAAATCTAAATTTAGAGGTCATCCATTACGTCGCTCGCTAACTCTGCCTAGGGTGGGGTACCTCATATTCGCTGGAGTACGGGAATGGAAGTTGTCGCTATCATTTTGGATGTACTCTGGATCGTTGATAGAATTTTTAGGGCAAAGCCCCACATCCATAACATCACTGGTTTTGCAAATTTGTCTAAATTAATGACAGACAAAGAAAATTATATTTTGTTGAATATGAATATGGTATCAAAGGAATTGATAAGCTTGTCAAATCTCCTCCAAAAATCAAAGTGGTAATTTTCTTCTGACTTATCAGATTGAAATAATGTTTTTTTTTGAATTAATGTTTGATGATTAATTGCAAGTATGAAACCGCAAGAGAAGCTTGAAGAGAAACACAAAAATTTAGTCTTTGATTGAATAAATTTATCGTATTTTTAATTGAATTTAAATATTAATTTTAATAAAATTAAATTAATTTAAAATTTTTAATTATAATTATAATAAAATTTATTAATTTTTTTAATTTTGCAATCAAACTTTAGTAAAATTTTTTTTTATTATTTTACAAAGTGACAAGTTTTATGGCAATGTAGACAATGACATTGATGTGATAAAAAAATTTATTTATGAAATAAAAAATAAACCTATTAATGAATAAATATTTTAAATAAAATACTGTCAAAAAACTCGCAATTCAAGACTCATTAATTAAGTTACTCTTTTTAACCTTATGAAATGCATGATAAATTTCGAACAAAATATCTGACAAACTTTAAACCTAATTTTCGTACGATTCATTAAAAGTCAATACTTTTGACTTTCTTTCGAGGAAAATGGTACCGACATTTTCCAACTTTTTTTTTTATGGGAATATTATCAAATGCGTTTTAAGTATCCGTCTTTTTGGGAAAGCTTTATTTTATCATTTATTAAATTAAGATATTTAAAATTTAATTTAATTAATTTAGATAAATTTTTAAATAAATAAAAATAGATAAATAACATCTATGACCTTTTTATCTTATTATCAAATATAATATTTTTTATTAAAAAAAACTTGAGAAGTGCATGAATAGAAATAGATAAGCCAAAAATAATAAAAAAATTATTTATTATTTTCCAAGAGTGGAGGCTACTTTTGACTATAACATTCAACCCATTCAAAGAGATGCTTCAAACTTCACGGACAAAGTTTGTAATAATCCAAAATTTGTAGGAAATTCATGACTTTTAATTCTTGCGTCTTGGCTTTATAGGGCTAAAGGTCAAAAGTAATTTGAATGATGATGGCAATCAAATTTTTCGTTGGCACCATGAAAGCCATTAATATTAGTCACATGTATCATCCACAAACCCATTTTCTTCACTCATCCAAATGAATTCCTTACTCATATGAATCTCATTGTCAATTCTTTTATTTTCTATTAAAATTGGTTTTGGATTAAGGCAAATGTTAAGAAGCCTCAAAAGGGGTTCATTAAATAGTAAAACAAAAATTAATTTGATAATACATAGATTATTATTATTTTTTCAATAAATTATTAGTAAAAGAGAAATTCCAATCATTTTTAAATATTATATTTAAAAAATTAATTAATCAAATTGATAAATTAAGGAACGAACAACTTAATATATAGGCAAACAAATTTAATAAAAAATTTGATTAAATTCACATATGATGATATTTGAATTTAAAATCTTAAAATTTTATAATCTTATCCTTCACTATTTTTATTTTTTTATTTTATATGAATTAGTAGTAATTCATTTTTATTTGTAATTATAGATTTTTTTAAAAACAATAGTCTAATCTCAAAATAAAAAAAATATATAATTTTTTATAAAATTACAAATATAAATTAAAATCATAATAAATTATTAAAAATTTAACATAAAAATTAAGTCAAACCCAAACACAATTTCTTTTTCATGAATAATATTTCTGATTGTTTATATTTTGGTGATTTATTATTTTATTTATTTAAATCTACTAATACGATTACGGTACTGAATACAGATAACGTTGCTACCCAAGACCTCCGTCATACGATGAAAACGACGGGACAGCAATAGAGCGTGAAGGAGACGCTCCAACAGAGGCGAGTAGGGGGATGGCATGGCAAGTATTAAAAGGATTTCGTTTCACCTGCGGGTGGTGGATGATGATTAATGTGATAATGTCATCAACTCATCATAAAAAGAAAAAGAAAAAGAAAAAAGGAGTGGGAAAATTTTTTTCTCTCTCTACTGAAAGTCAACGTCCTTCTCTCGCCCAAGCCACTACTTTTTTGTTCAACTTTTTGTCATTTAGTGCAGCGCTGTCCTTCCTTTCCGCGTGTTCGCTCTGTCACTCTCCCTCTCTCTCTCTCTTTCGCTTGTTATTTATTCTATGTGCTCGTTCTCATTTGTTTAGCTTGAGCTCCACTTCCCCGTCAATCCCATCTTCCATACTTTTTTTTGTATACTCTCTCCACTTTATAAATTATGTTTTATTTTTTTAACCAAAATTTTTAAATTTATTATTTTTTATAATTATTTTTTCAAAATTTAATGTGTTGGATGAAAGTTATTATGAAATTAAAAACAAGTTATTGCATTCAAGTGTAATTCACATTAGGTAATTTTTTTTAAACGAAAAGAATGAAATTTAATATTTTAAGTAAAAAATATGTAACAATCATTAGATTGAAGGTTGCAAAAATTAATAGAGTTAATTAACAATTTTAAGACATTTTATTAAAAATTTTAATAAACTTAAAGTGAAAATTATTACCTAAATTTTTAATGTAGGGACAATGCAATAGGGGAAAAAATTTTGTACACGTGTCTCAATTCTATTAGTGGAGTACATGATGAGACGAAATAGAGAATGACATGATAGCATAGCTAGAAGAATCTAAAAAGAAAGGGAAAAAAGCAACCAGGGAAGAAGGGGGTGCGCATGATAAGAGTCCGCAATCCTTGTCCTCTGTCTCTCTATAAAAGTCACCCATTTTTATCATTTGCTGAAGGTCAGCGTCACTCATTCCTATAAACCAAAAAAAAAAAATCATAAAATCAATAAAAAAAACCCACTTCTTTTCTTCATTTTTCTTCTCCTTCTGATCTCGCCCTGAATTTCTCAAACTGAATACAGCATTTACTCTGTTTTTTTTTTTCTCTGAAAAAAAAAAAAAAGTAGTAATTAAGAATGGAGGGACTGCCCCCCGGTTATCGTCCTAACGTTGGTGTCTGTCTAATCAACTCTGATAATCAGGTACCCTTCTTTTCTTTTTTCTCGGGTTTTTGTTTTTATTTGTTTGATATTTTTAAAGCAGAGGGATTGAGTTGATTAATAGCCCGCAAAGAAAACAGTATGAAAATTTTAACTAATAATAAAAAAAGAGTTGAATTCAAGTTACCAAAATTAAATTAAGTCAAATTTTGGATGTCTGTGTGTGGATTTTCTGGGTGTTTTTCATTTTTTTAAGATAAATAACTTGGACAGAACCGATAGACTTTCTGTTGTACTACTGTTTATTGATTAAAATATTTAGAATATGAAAAATAAGTGGAAAATGTAGTTTGGAATTAAGTCCATTGTTGGCTTGTTTGTTAAAATGTTTACTATATGAAAAAAAAAAAAAGCTTCTGGGTGGTGGACTTTGGAGCCTGAGTTCAATTAATTCAAGTAAATTTTGGAGTTTTTTTGTGAAAATTTAAGTTTTTTAATGGTTGTTTGAGGTTTTTTAATGCAAACTATATAGGTAGAGAAAGCTGAAAATACTTCGTTTTGCTGCTTGCAGGTTTTTGTAGCTTCGAGATTGAATGTTCCAGGAGCTTGGCAGATGCCTCAGGTAATACCTTGTTGGATTTTCTATTTATTGTAGGTATCATTGCTTGATGAAAACTTCAATTATTAGTTAAAACTGGAGGACTTTTCTTTTTCTTTTTTCCTGCTGGCTGTTCTGAGTAATTGCACAATTCTTATCCAAAATATAGTCTTGCTAGACCCTAATGGCTGAAAATTTCTCGCTGTATTGCTGACTATAACTTCGTTGCTTCCCAACTGAAGCTCTTTTGTTCATTTTCTGTTTCAGTGAGTGTGCACATGATAAATTAGAAGGAATGATTTGCCAGTCAGTTGTGTTTTTTTCGCATTTGAGTGTCTTTCAAGTTTTGATGGCAGTAGAATAAACGACTTCTTATATTGCTGCTTACTTTTTTCTTTTTTGGGTTATTCAAAAGCTTCATTTTGCTTTCACCTATGATGGCCTCATCTCTGAAGAGTGCACCTTATATTTGGACTAATTTAATTGATTATAATTTTTCGATTTTATGAACTCAGGGCGGTATTGAAGAAGGTGAGGAGCCAAGATCTGCAGCTATCAGGGAATTGAAAGAAGAAACTGGAGTAATGTCTGCTGAAATTATTGCTGAGGTTTGTTAAAAAGGATAGTCTTGTTATGCTTTAGCTTTTTCTGTAGGACTTTTAAACACAGTTGGCAGCGGCACTTCACGCATATCATTCTATTATGTTTTAATTTTTGTCACTCTAATTCAAACCTGAGGGATTTAACTATTGAATGAAATAAGATGGATCCGAGTTTAGAATTATTAATAGCAAAATCACTGTTTATTTAGCCATAACATGCATGGTATATTTAAAGTCTTGATGTTTCAAAAGCAAAGAAATTTCGAAACAAGCTAAAGAAAAAGAGAGCAGATCAACATTTTCTCTCTTCATGTATTGTCTACAAATATAACAGAAATTGGATACATACAGTTATTTCAAATTACATGATCACTTGAATAAAGGTACTAGAAACAAAAATCCCTACTAAAAGTATAAAGCGTTCAAGCTATATTCTTAAACTTCCAAGCAAGAGTTTCGTTGAATACAATTTCCTCCATTCTCTCCTATTTAATTCTTTCTTTATGCTATTGCTGATGTACATCTAATTTACATTGTGTTTTTGCAGGTTCCTAATTGGTTGACATATGATTTTCCTCCTACGGTAAAGGCCAAAGTGAATCGACTCTGGGGAGGTGAATGGCATGGGCAGGCACAGAAGTGGTTTGTTTCTCCTTTCTTCCCATTCCTTTTTTTTTTTTTTTTTGTCCAAGTGCACACATTCACATACAGGTGGCCTCATCTATTAGAAGAAAGCCAGTTTGGTTTGAAGCAGCTTGGTTTAATTTTTAAGCTAGTGGCAACAGAATTCTCACTGTATTCAGTGCATCTAAGGCATGCCTGCAGTGGCATATTTCTTATCCTTGTTTCTATAAATTTATATATTCTTCTTTTTATACCGGCTGTTAGGAGGAAAGCGACTATTGCATTTTCTAGTTAGGGAAAAACTGAAAAACTCAAACCCTATTGGACAGTTGCATGGGCTATCTGGTAATGGCTGAGCATTACTTGAACTAGCTCACTTGCTATCTTTAGCAACATAAAGAAGCAATATTCTTGGGTGCCATCCTGTCTCAATATCCTATCTGAAGCAGCATTCTACTGGATTTGAAATGATGGGAGTTATGGAATATCAGCATGTGTAGAGATGTGGTAGTAGAAAGATGTATAATATATATATATATATGGAAGTAGGATGTTTTGAATTTCTTCCTGCAAGAGCTGCTAAGGAGAAGCTCATGGATACTTTTTGTGTGTGTGGCTGTGTGTGTTTGTGTCTGATGTAATGGAATTAGACTGAGATATAATATAACTAACTTTTGTTCATATTCTTTCTAGTAAATTTGGTAAGACAATCAAATTCAAAATTCTCTTTTATTGGATTTTATATGAAATTGTAAGGGGCAACTTTAGCTACGCCATTCATCCTCATATGAAGTTAGTGGCTAGCCATATGCATATGCCTTTGTAGACGTTTAGGTTAAAGTCTTTGAAATATGTTTCATTACCTTGTCTGACAGTTTTGATGTTTGTGTGCATGTGTGATGCTTGCATCGTTCTTTCTGCACGTGGTATTTAAACCATGATCAGTACAATCTACAAATATCTGGCCTTTTCTTTCTCCCTCTCCGTATGAAAATTTGTGCACGAAACCTGTGCTCTAATCACTGTAGTCATTTCTTACCTGAGGCCATGAAATGCGTAGGAAGAAATTATAAGAGTTTGTCATCTTTTCATATGACCTGGGGGCTAACAATAGATTGGACAATCGACAGGTTTCTTATGAGACTAACAAAAGATGAGAGTGAGATCAACTTAGCAAATAGAGAGGCAGACCCAGAATTTGCTGAGTGGAAATGGGCAACCCCTGAAGAAGTTGTTGAGCAGGTATGGTGCAGTAGCAACATTATGAATTACTATTATAGTAACTTTTAGTGACGAGTATCCCATGAAACTGCTTACTAAGATGTCTAAACAAATCGATTGCAGGCAGTGGACTACAAAAGGCCGACATACGAAGAAGTTATGAAGACCTTCAGGCCTTACTTCAGTGACAATAGCAAAGCCGCTAAATGTAAATCGACGAAATGGTGAACGCCATGGGTGTGTTTTTGTAGGTTTCTTTCCATGTTTCTTTTTTCTTTTTTGGTTGGTAGTGATTATATTTGGACTCTCTTAATCCATCTTTGCTCTCTGTAAATGGATATGAAATTAGAACTTCCAAATTTAAATCACTGTTTCCTTGTAATAAAATCTTTGTGCAATTATATATTGTTTTGTTTGTTGATTTATTTCATTTATTTCTATATATTTATGCAATACTTGATTAAAAAAAAAAAAAAAAAACCTAATGAATCATCCCCTTCTTACCTTATCAATAATGTTAAAGGTTGATTTATTACATTGATTACATAAAGTCAACACAATATTTGCTTCATTTTCACGGTAGACTACACCAAAATGATAAAAAAAAAAATATATAATATAAATTAAAATTTTAATAAAATTATATATGATTTTTATAAAAATAAAAAATGTGTTTTATATGTAACATATAAATATAAATTTAATATGATAATTTTTTATATTTTATACATATTTGATATAATATAAAAAATCGATATAAATATATAAATTTATTAAGTCCATCGTAACTTATTCATAAGAAGAATTCAATGTGTTAATTTGTTATTTTTTATTTTGTCATTCTACTAAATTTTGAGTTAAAAAAATAAGAGTGAAATAAAAAAATACAAAGTAAAAAGTGATTTTTTTGTATGAAATTAACTTTTATGTAATAATAAATAATCATTTTAATCTCATGTATTATTGCGTTTGATCAAAATTTAAATTATGATTTGCATTATTATAATTTTTAAAAGATTATTTTTATTGTGAAAAATAAAAGGAGCAATTATGGTAATAAGAAAAAGTTAACATAATTATTTTATTTTAATTTTTCAAAAAAAATTAATCTGAAATAATTAAAAATATGTAAATAAAATAATGTATGAGACGGAGGAAAGAATAATAATAATAATATTTTTAAAATTCAAGTGAATGAAACGCAGCTTTCGTTTGAAAACCACAAATTTATATATTTTTCTAATTTAATTTAGGATAAAATACATAATTAATTACTCAATTATATGAATATTTTTTAAAAAATAACTTAATTATTAATTATTTTAATTTAATCATTTAATTTGACGTAATATTAAACGTAAAAAATGATAATACAGTGTCATGTGACGAATGACGTAACATTATCATGTTAACGCGTCCTTAAAATAAATTGTTGCATGAGAAAAAAAAATTGATTTAAATTATTGATATATTTTATTTTAATTTAAAATTTTTTAAAAGTTATTTATTTTATATTAAAAAAATAATTAAGAGATTATTTTAAAAATACAGTCATTATTTGTATATTAAACCCTTTGATTAGTTACTGCTTCATAAATCATAACTATTTATTTATTATTTATTTTTGTGAATAAAAAAAGTTGACGGCTGTGGAAGGGAGCGGTCCATGATTCGCAGCCCCACCTCAACTCATCGTCTCACCGGCGGAACAAAGCCAGCTCAGTGATTTGCAGCCCCCCAATCTGACACCCAAATCGCTTTGCGTTTCTCCTTCTGACTTCTGATAACACGTGAGAGCAATCCTATTCCTATCATGGCTGACACGACATGATCACCTCACTCACCCTCAATCCCCCCCACTCTCTCTCTTTATAGCTCCGGAAATGTGGGTATTAGGTAAGGTTCGAATTTCGTCCGAACCCAAAACACCCTTTTAGATAATATCTACCGTTTTTAGAAAATGAATACATTACTAATGTTTTCCATTTTTTTTGACTCAGTTAATTTTTATCCTTTTTTAAATGTATTTAATGTAAATAGTAACGATGAGTTTCTGACAGCAGTTCAGTTTTGACATGTTCAAGTTGTTTTGTCAGCATCACACCGGATTCGGGGTACATACATATGCCTACGTATAAATATACGCTTACGTCGTGCTGTATTTCTACGTATGAGGTGTTGGAGGTGCTATTTGAGCAGTTCGTATCTTGTCTGCAATCTTGAAGCTTCAAGCTTCTTCATCTCCTGGCTTGGCGTCGTTTACAGACAAAAAAAGGGTAACATTTCTTTTTTCTCCTTAATCATTTATCTGTTTCTCTTTTTAGTGAGTTCTGGGTTTTTTTTTTTTTGTGTGTGTTGTTTTTTCTCTCATTTCTGTTTGAGGGGAGTTTGACTGTCTGTTTGATGATGAGTGATATTAAGGTTTGAAGTTTTGCTCATATAATGGTGATTTTAGGCTTTATAATAAAAACGAATTGAATAATAGGTTTTACCTACAAGCTCGTTTGGTTGAATTTCTTTTCTTGACTTTTAATAGTAATATGTGTGCATGGAATTTCTTTTCTGAGATTCTTTTCTTGATGATTCTTGGACATTCACCAAACATACCTTTTATTCTTATTTTTTGAAAATTTAGAAATTGATGGGAAAGATCATTTTTGATGTGTATGTTTTTGTCCTTTTCTTGCTTAATATACTTAAATTTGCACCTAATTTACAAGTTGGGGTTGCTAAAGATCTGCATACAAACATATCTTTGACGAGAACTAATGTTAAATTTTTTTAGTTCTTTGTTTTAAACAGGTTTTTGGGATAGTGAATTTGGATTTGATCTTTTCCGTGAATTATGAAGATGAGAGTAGTCACTGCATAAAAATAATGGTAAAAATCCAATATACCTATACATTCAAAAGAGTGTAGTGGGGTTTATTTGAAAATTGAAATTCACTTTTCCATCTCCATTTTACAAATTCACTAGGTACTAGATTCTAAATCTAACCAAATCCATGGATTTGAGTATAATCATAGAACTCATATTTTCACGAGTATTACCTTGCAACTTATACTTACTTGAAATTCAAATCCTTATGTTCCTGAATGCAACCCTGAATGACTAATGCTTAGAAGGTTGAGATCTAATTCTATGTTGGGTGGTTTCATACTTTTTCATTGCATTACTTCAAGCATGCTGTGAGCACACTTGTAGTGTAAGTTTTTCAAATTGATTTTCTTTCAGATGGAATCGAATGGTTAGTTAATTTAATCGGAAATATTTGACAAAGACTTTTTCACCGAATATGGTGAAGCAAGTCAATATGAAATAAAGGAAGCAGTTGGCAGAGGAAGTTATGGTGTGGTTGCTTTTGCAATAGATACTCACACTGGAGAGAAGGTAGCTATTGAGAAGATGACCAATATCTTTGAGCACATCTCAGTTGCCACACGGATTCTTAGAGAGATCAAACTCCTACAGCTGCTGCAACACCCAGATATAGTTCAAATACAGCACATAATGCTTCCTCCATGTAGAAGAGAATTTAAAGATATATTTGTTGTTTTTGAGTTGATGGAATCTGTTCTTCACCATGTTACAAAGATAAATGATGATCTAACCCTTGAACATCATCAATTTTTCTGGTACCAGCTTCTTTAGGGTCTAAAATACATTCACATAGGTTACTTTTTTTAAACCTATCAATTGCTGTAGAGTTTTCTCCAATTTGTGAAAATAAATGACTTTTTCATTTTTCAGCACATCTTTTCCATAGGGATTTAAAGCCAAAAGATATTCTTGCTAATGTGGACTGCAAACTGAAGCTTTGCTGTTTTGGACTTGCTCGGGTATCATTTACTGATGTTCCTTCTACTATTATTTGGATTGTAAGCGTTTCCTTCTTGCCTTATGACTTCTCTGCAATTCATTGACGTTGTCTATACCATGTTAACTATCCTCTGCATCTGATCATCATTTAATTTTCAAGGATTATGTGGCAACTTGATGGTATCATGCTGCTGAACTGTGCAGTTCATTTTTCTCCAAGGTAAGTACTGCAGTTTTTTCTTACTGCAATTGATTTACTATAATCTGTTCAAGTATTGTTAGTCAGCTCAGCTGTATGGTTTAATTTAAACTGCCTTCTTTTAGTTTTGTTTAGGGATTTTATGCTATAGGCAACAATAAGATCATTAGTTATCTGGTTGTGTCATGGTGGCTGTGTTGCTTGAGGGGTTAGAATAGCTGGTGCCTGAGTGAGAAGAAGCTTTCTTGCATATCCAATCTTTGTGGGTTGAAGAATGTGGATGTTCGTTGATTCATCATATCTTTGAATTTTAATCCTCTGTTTTTATTTTGTTCTACTTGTGCTTTCTCGTATACACATACCCTGCTGCTAGGTTTTTACATTATATTCTATTAAGATGAACCAATTTGAGCAAAACTCCTCTGAGAACTTTATTAATTGATTTTAAAACCTGTGTTATATGCAGTACACCCTGCTGTTGATATTTGGAGTGTAGGATGTATATTTGCTGAGTTGCTTAGAGGAAAACCATTGTTTCCTGGGAAGAATGTGGTCGATTGATTGGATCTTGCGACTGATTTGCTGGGTACTCCCTCTTCTGAAACAATTGCAAGGGTCTACTGTCTCCTTTTGATTAGAGAAAATTTTCATCAGCATTAGGAACCTTTTTAAGTTGCTTCCTATCTTTTTTCTAAACATGCCCAAGATCTTGTTCCCTAACCATTTTGATTCTTTATGATATCTATTCGGAATTAAAGAGCTAGAAAGTATTTGAATAGAATGAGAAAAAAGAAACCAACTCCTTTCTCAAAAAAAATTTCCAAATGCAGATCAATTGGCCCTCAATTTGATTAAGTGTCTGGTTGCATTTGATCCTAAGGATCATCCATCTGCTGAAAAGGTAAACTTTAGGAGTTCTGATAGTTTAAAATTAGGATCCTTTTTCCTCATACTCTATTTTATTTCCTAACTTTTATGATTGTTCTTTACGCATGCATTAGCTAGCTGATCCATCTTTCGATGGATTGGCAGATGTGGACAGTGAACCATCCATGAAACCATTTCAAAATTTGAATTTGAATTTGAAAGAAGGAAATTGGTGGAAGCTGATGTCAGAGAGCTAATTTACTGAGAGTTGTTTATTACATAGAGATTAGTTCTTGCCTTAGCGATATTATTCTCCATTTTAATGACCTCGATCATTTATTGTTTACTTGTGGCGCATCTTACTTTAGAATGCTAACAGATATTAGAGTAACATCCACAGATGCTTCTGGAGTATCTTCAAAGCAAATATCAGATTAGCTTCATGTATCCAAGGTCAGGCATCCAACTATGTCTTCTGGTGGTTGTTTACAACAGTTACATAGAACATAATTCATAAAAATCTAACTGACAATGAGGGT